TCTTCGGGGGTGGGCGTGACCACAGGTCGGGTGCCATCTTGCAATTGTCTCTCGGCTTCCTCTCTCGCAGCTTGAGCTTGCCTGGCTTCTTCAGCAGCTCTTTGTGCGGCGCGCTCAGCTGCTTCCCTCTCGGCCTGGAGTCTCCTGTTTTCCTCTTCCCTGGCTCTCTGTTGCCGCTCATGTTCTTGCTGTGCAGCAATGGCAGCTTGCCTAGCAGCTTCCTGGGCAGCTCGTTGTCTGCACCTCTCTTCTTCAGCCTCTCGCGCCATTCGTTCTGCACGCTGTCTTTCTTCGCGAGCCCATGCTTCTGCGGCCTCGCGAGCAGCACGTGCTGCCTGCTCGGCTTGCTCTCTCTCGCGGCGCTGTCGTTCGGCCTCTTCACGAGCAGCTTGCGCTCTTCTAGCTGCCTCTGCTTGTTCTGCCTCAAAGCGCCTTCGTGCTTGTTCTGCCTGGCGCTTGAGCCGTTCGGCCTCTGTACGGGCTGCCTGGGCGGCACGTTCTGCTTCTTGACGAGCAGCCTCAGCTGCGGCGCGAGCGCGAGCCTCAGCTTCTTGTTGTGCACGGATTGCTCCCCAGTCTGGCTCGTGGCGTGAGTGTCCCCCGCCCATGATTAGAACTATGAGGGTTGTAGATGAAGATTTCGTTGGTTGGTCTGTGGCACTAACAGGACGTTAACAAACATGGATTGTGACAAAGTTAAATAGAGTCGGAGCCGATTACTGACCTGAATTGATTGACAATGTAGGTCTCTATGAGAATGCCGTTTGAGATGGGGTGTCTGGGGATGTCTCGGCTGACTTAAATATCACATACGTACAGCAGCCTCGAGGGTCCGACAAGGGTAACAGTGGCGATGAAGTGATTGAACAGAATACGAACCCTAGTGCACAGGCCTTGTCATATTACTTGAAAACGTCTGACGACGATCATGAGAGTAACTTCTTTCGAAGCACACAGCGTCTCCTATCAACTACCGCGAACACGGTAGTCCGGCGTGTAAGGCGCGTCTGTGCATAGAAGAATGTAGCGGATTCCAAGTTCAAATAAAATGAATTCTAATGAACTAGACAAATTTGGAAATCTGTTACTCCCCTCAACAGACTGCAACATATTCTTCACCCGGGCCAGTCCTTGACCATTCCAAATCGTTCAACAACTCAACCTCGTGGATGATGTTCTCCGGCTGCTTTTCCTTTACGACATCGAGCATCGTTTTATTCGAGACGATGTAAACCCTCTGATCAGGTATATGGGCACTTTCCAGGTTGTCTTTCACGCTCTGGCGCGTCTGTTGAATGAACTGCTCCTGTGCAGCCTGGTAAAGCGTCTTCTTCCGGTCCTCACTCTCATACCCCATATCGTTCATGATGTTACGGATGTGCTGATCTGCCTTGGAGCGCACGATATACGTGGAGATTTCGAAACGCCTGCAGTTCGCGAGGATGGCGATGTCGGTCATGGTGAAGTGATTGTCGAATAGCACGATGATGCCATCAAAGGCATAAAGTTCTTGGGCAGTGAAATACTGCCAGTCTGGGATTTTGAGTGTGTCTGCGCCCGGGATGTCGTACCAAGCATATGCTTGTTCCATGTTGGGGCTGGCGTATCTGGCCGTGACCAGCATTGTCTCGGTGACACCAGTAGCAGCAGATCCGGTGTCCTTATTACGCAAACCACGGAAGGCATTGATGAGAGATGATTTCCCTCCTCCTGCCACCCCGGTTACCGCGATGTGGAAAAGGTGCTCGTGATATCGTGCTCTCCGCCTGGCGGCGCTGATTTCTTCAGGTGTAGGAGTCACCACAGGTTGAATGCCTTCTTTCAAACTGCGTTCAGCCTCCTCCTTGGCAGCATTAGCCATCTTTACTCGCTCTTCCGCCAATGCGTCGGTCGCCTCCTGGTCAGCAGTTGCATCCCTCTCTTGTGATTTCTCGACCTGCTCCTGAGCAGACTGAATGTCCATGTTCGCTCGTTTTTGAATAGCAGCACATTCCGCCTGGACCACCGCTATCATTTCCTTGTGAGTTTGTACCTGCACGGCTTCCCTAGAAGCCCGCTCGGCCTGCAACGTCGCTACCATCTCCTTGTATACCTGCGCCTGTGCGGCGAGCTGGGCCTCCGCAGCTTTTTGCTGTGATTTTTGGTTTGCCTGGATGATCTTTATTAACGCAGCCTGCGCAAGTTCTACATCCTTCCGAGCCTGCTCAGCTACGGCTTCTGCGTGTAGACGTGCTTCTCTTTCGATGAGGGATGGAGTCGCTCCCATTCTTGATTGATAGAATCCTGTTAATTGTTATGTCGTACGATGGCTTCTATCTCTCGAGCTGAGGAAGCTTACTGAAATGTATATGCTGTGCTTCGAAATTTGAATCTAATGGTGTTGAATCAGCATGGGTGCTGTGGATTCACGCCAGGTCACAACGAAGAGGGGCATTTCCAACCAACCCCTATCCCAGAATGGATGCTCGACGCCGCATCACTAATACCCTTGATCTGCACGAGGTCATAACGTTCACAGATTTATCTCACGATGTCGGAGGCACTGGATCGCGTTGCATCAGAATCCGGTACCTTTCGTCCGGTAGATCTAGGTTTCTACTAGAAATCTCAATTGCAAATCCTTTGTAATTCTCAGTGTTCAGTCGGATGGAAGTCAGTCGCTCGCAAGCAGTAACAACATGAGGAGAAGTAACAACATCAGCACAGAGGAAGAAACATAGAAAGAACCAAATCTGCAAGTCTGGAATCGAGCTCGGTCACGAACGGTATGATCATGTCAAAAACGGAGAAGTATCAGTAAGAGTCCGAAGGAAGAAGAACTGTATCACCACCGACTATTCATTCGTAATAGTCGCGCCTCAGTCACGGCGTCCTCGCCTGATCTGGGCTTCTCGGATCAAGTCGCTCAACAACTCAATCTCGTCGATGGTCTTCGGCTGCCTTCTCGCCAGAACATCGAATATCGTTGTGTTCAACGCGACATCGAGCATCATTTTGTGCGAAACGATGTAAACCCTTTGCTCAGGTATATTGGCATCCCGCAGGTTGTCTTTCACGCTCTGGCGCGTCTGCTGAATGAACTGCTGCCGTGCAGCCTGGTAAAGCCTGTTGACCTGGCTGCTATCACCATCGCTATCATACCCCATATCTTCCATAATGTTGCGGATGTGCTGATCTGCTTTAGAGCGCACGATATACGTGGGGATCTTGAAACGCCTGCAGTTGGTGAGGATGGCGATGTCGGTCATGGTGAAGCGATTGTCGAACAGGACGATGATGCTGTCGAAGACATAAAGTCCTTGGTCGTTGAAGTACTGCCAGTCTGGGATTTTGAGCGTGCCAGCGCCCGGGAAATCGTACAAGACAAGAGGGTATTCTGCATTGGGGTGAGGGTATCTAGCCATGACTAGCGTTGTCTCGGTGACGCCAGTGGCAGCAGCTCCAATGTCCTTATTACGCAAACCGCGGAAGGCATTGATGAGAGATGATTTCCCTCCTCCTGCTATCCCGGCTATTGCGATGTGGAAAAGGTCCTCGCGATATTGTACTCTCCGCTTGGCGGCGCTAACTTCTTCAGGTGTGGGAGTCACCACAGGTTGAATGCCTTCTTTCAACTTGCGTTCAGCCTCCGCCTTGGCAGCATTGGCCGCGTCTGCCGCTTTCTTCGACGCGTTGGCCGCCTCCTGGGCGGCAGTCGCCTTCCTCTTCTCCTCATCAGCAGCCTCCTGTAGTTTCTTGACCTGCTCCTGGGCAGCCTGGGCGTCTCGTCTGGCTTGCTCTTGTATAGCGGTAGTTCGCCTAAGCTCCTCCATTGCCTGCGCTGCTAACTTTCTTGATTCCTCGTTGGCGGTACGAGCGGCAGCTTCCGCCCGCGAGCAAGCCTCATCTGAAGCACGTTTGGCGTCGGCCATCGCCTCCCTCGCCTCACGGCCCCGAGCCTGTTCAGCCGCCCTAGCTTTCTCAGTGGCCCGCTCAGCCGCCTTAGTCTTTTCCTGTTGTTTTTCATTCAGGTTGTTGAGCTCAGCAATCCGTTTTTCGGCAGCCTTAACATCCTTTCGGGCTTGCTCAGCAGCTGACTCTGCATCCCGGCGCTTTTTGATCTCCTCGTCTACTGGATTGGGCCCTTTTGGCCGCTTGGAACATCCCATCCCTGTGTTTGCTCAACTATAGAAATGCGTGGCCCTGTTAATGGTGACGTCGAATGATGCTCCCATCTCTTGAGCTGGCAAAACTTACTAGTACGTGTATGCTTTGGAATGAAAAATTGGCTAACAGCGCTGTTCAAAGTAAGTCCTGTAGGGATGAAGAGCCGATCCGAGTCTTAAACATATAATGTTTGCCTTGAGGCGTTTTATGTTGTCCCGCATGCAGACGACTGAATGCGGCCAAGCGCTGATCATAAATTACGCAGGGCTATGGGTTGTCTCACATCCGGAGGATTGCACGAAGTGTGACTTGGAGGCAATGAAGTCGTGGAATGGAATGGAAGAAGTTCTGTGCATGGAAGTTGAGAGTGAGTTACTAGATCCGATCTGATTGAACGACGAATGTACGTGTACCTCACGATTAAGATATAAGGGCCCACGATATGTGGCAATTTTTAACGTATGACATTGTGATAAGTGGGCGAAATACTGCCGAGAGCGAGTAGATTTTAATCAGGTTTGTGACTGATGGGTGTTCCTTGAAGGATAACCAGATATCGATGAGGTTTGCGACTGTCGCAGAGGAGGTATAATGCACCTTAGATGGCCACAATGAATCGTCGATGATCCTGATAGGAGGCGCTGCAGGAGGGTGTATTACAGTTAGAACACCGCCGCTGAGGTTAGGTTTCATCTAACACATTCAAGCTCCATCATTCCAAAAACTCAACTCTGCGAGCACTCAGCGTAGATCGATACACTCACTCGCTAGAAGATAAAATGGAATTGAGTGGGGCTCTTCATCTGAATATATCAAGAGGAAGGTTTAAAGGACCGTCACTGCAACCATTATACTCAATCGTCTGGACCACACTGTCCATACACCTTAAGCCCGCAATCCTCCTCGTTGTTAGGGCGTATGGAGTTACCGTCTGAAGAAGGGAGTTTGGTTATGTAAACGAATGAACTTGAATGAACTCGTCGGGTCTGGAAGTCACCATTACCCGGCCGGTGGATCTCTGAATCAGTCCTTTATGGAAAGCTGGACGTGCGCGCTCCGTTACTCACCGTGACATGACCCAAATAAGGCAGTCACAAGACCGGGACACTGTACACCTCGAATGGGATCAAAGCAAGATTTCAAATACATTTAATTACATACACACATCAGCAAAACCCCAAATTTAGCACAGTGACATACATGCTTGCTTACAGTATGTCACAGCGCCTTACAGCCCTGCAGGCACCCATAGCACTAGGTAGCCCTGTGTGATGTCAGGGTCATAGCCGCATACAGGCTCGTGTAGTCTTAGCAACATAACAGTACAGATAGGTAGTGTAACATTGTTTGACATAGTGCTACACAGTGAGATACATCATACAGCAAGGCATTGTGCTATTTTCTTCCTTACTACTCAGTAGAATCTGTTTGCTAATTCTGGTACTACTAGTAGTATTTAAATTCGAATACCATGGAAAGTAGAACATGCGCTCAGGCAGGATAACATTGGTATGGCGCATAGACACAAGTAGTAGTACTATACTATAAAAAGATTGAATAGTGCTGGCACCTGTCATGATGAGTCCACTCAGTGAATTTTCTACTAGCACAAGTCCCACCATGGCAGCTCAGATTCCGATGTCACGCTCACAGAATCTTAAAACACATGAGTTTGAAGCAATTGAGCAAATACAAGTGCTTACTGGTAATACCTGGTATTAAGATCACGTCCGGTTGACTACTATGCTGACTGCTAGCAGAAGTACGACAGCGTTTCGGAGGCTTAGAGTCCTCATATAGCGTGATACCGCTTTTTCAAAGGGAATGGCATACATAGCCAATGTCCATGTCAGCGTCCTCTAACTTTCTCTCAGCTTCTGTAGCTTTGAACTGATAGAGTACCCCAAGTGCAGTGTTCTCCTTGAGAATACAATCTGCGAGTTTCTTCTCCGCAAGGCGAACATCTCGCTGTGCTCGCGTTGCGTTCAACACAAGTTGGGCTTTGAATTCCTCATCATGACCGTTGTCACTAGAGTTAGTATCTTCCTAAGGAATACTATTATTTAGAAAATATATTGGAAGTGCAAGGACATACATCATTTATGTCTTCACAGTCTGACTCTGTTGTCGAAACTTTTTCTGATGCCAGCAGGACAGTGTTCGTGGAAAATCTATGATTCGTGATGCCTGGCATTGTTAAGTGGCGCAATAACACATGGGACCAGTGTGTTTGCAAAGCACTGATAGCCCTAGGAGTTCCAATTATCCTAGAGTTAAAATGCCTGGCCTAGCCCTAGACATAACATTGTGAGATATGGATAAGGAAGGAGTATTACAAATGGTGGAAGGGTTGATATTGGAAGTGGTGGTAGTACTGTTCATGAATGCTCGAGGTGTGCTGGAGACCCCAGAATGGTAGCAAGTTGACTTCCCACTGGCAGCCAAGTTCGGTAATGCATAGTACACCAATTTTTCTCCATGATTTGTATTTGATTGGATGTCCGAGTGTAATGAGGGCTGTGAGAGACTTGGTGGGATGTCCTTGAGCTCGAGAGATTCAGATGGTGTAGGTTTGAGACTGTTCATCGCTGATACTTGTACAAGTTTGGTTGAAGTCATGTCTACATAGAGGCTAGTACTACTAGTAGTACCAAGTCATGTGTCACGGATGTGATCAACTCACTTCAAGCATGACATTTGTAGATATACAGGTGGCAGAACCTACTAGTAGTACAAGTACACAGATACACGATGGATCATGGAACAAATATGTAGTAATGAAAGTAAACTGCATGAATGGTAGTTGTATTAAATTAGTATGGGCAGCATGGCTCAGTCTGAACACAACAACAATGCAAGCGCTAAAATATGCATGTGTATGGACACTTGTCCTTCCAGCTCAAGTCTAAAGGTCATTCACCCTTCCCTCACCTTCTTGGACTTCCTTGACTTTGACTTGGGAACCTTCCTGTCATCAACCTTTGCTTTCTTTGCTGAGTGTTCAGGTTCAGCATCAATTGATAATCCAGAGGAGGGTGTGTGCGGCTGATCGGTTGAGGATGAAGTAATGGGGTTGGACGAAAGACCAGTTGTGTTACGACGATGAGTCGTGTGCGAACTAGGATGATCTAACAGCGACGATCACGACAGTGATACCACGTGCTGAGAGTCCGAAGGTCGGCTCTTACAGATAAGTAAGAGTTGCGTATGCTCGTGGAGGCGAGCAATGATAGCAGTTACAGGCAGAAGGGGCTTCAAGTCCTTCTGAAGGTACGGATCTGATGTCAAGCAGGTAGCTTTTAGCAAGACAAAGGTTTCAAGGCAAAACCTAGTAGGATTAAAGTAAGGAACATCTACTTTAATCGTCGACCTTATATAAGGCTACTCTATCATATCTAAGCTCAGCTTGAAGCTGGGTTCTAATCTGCTTATCTATCGAGTCAGAGATACCATGCATGAGGCAGGCTTCTATCTTGATAAGGACATGTGGTTGTCCTTCTATCAGTACATGAGGCAACACGAGGCTTGCCTTCTATCTTGATATCATAAATAGGTTTTCTAGACCTATGTCATCATATGTTCGTCATAGCAGTCTAGACCGCTTATCTAAGCCGGCATCTTCCGGGCTTCTCTTCTATTTGTCATCAAGGTCAAAAGGCCCGGTTATCGTGTCGTTGCCGTGCGAGGTGGCAGAGGGCTGGTCGGGTAGCTGGGGGCTCACGTAGTGACTGTAACAAGTTGTTTGATCAGACGAGAGTGTAGTACCAGTACCAGCCTGAGCGACTGATAACTTGCGCTTTTCATATTTGCGGTGGTGCCAATCCATGTAGCAGCAGTAAGCTGTAAGATAGACAGCGGTGGAGATCTGGTTCAGAGCAGCCTCCCACATGGGGTCCCACACAGGACGAGACTCATGCACACTCCAGATTGCAGGCTCTTCTAACTCCATACCCTCCATTAATGACACAATGTAATCTTTCAAACTCTCCATGGCCTCACTTACATAAGATGTGTTTGATGTTGTCCATCTAAAGCCTCCTTGGAGTTACTTGACCTGCTAAATGTAAGTTGAGAGTATCCCTACATGAAGCTTAAGTGAGGTACATACCGGACAAGGCTCTTGATAAAAGGTATAGATAGAGAATCATGATGTCATACAAGGCTTCCGGAGAATTCTGAGCTCTTGAGAGTTCTAAGTCTGGCCAGAAAAGGTATAGATAGAGAATCATGACACCAGATGAAGCTTCCGGAGAATTCTGAGTGGTGCACCTCCAAGTTTTCCGTGAGGTAGTTGCTGCACAGCTTGCACTTGAGGCAGCTTCCGAACTACGTAAGTCCAAAATGTGTTTAAAGCCTGCTTGGGAAATGTGAGGCAGACTTGGACTGTCACCCTGTGCATGAACTTCCAAACTACATAAGTCCAAAATGTGTTTGACACTACATATAGACTGACAATTGAAGCTGTTGAGTGCATGTTGCGATGCCCAACCAAAACAAGCCTACATGTCTGTACCACATCAGGAAATTGACCCGAAACTGTTATGACCAGATATATATGACAAACAAAACTCATTATTATACATCTAGTTTTACATTTGAATATTCTTATCATGATGTCACACAAATATGAAATCAGATATGATCTTATGAGGGAGATAAAATTCTGATATGTGTATTGTAGGGTGACAGCAGTATGATAATGGAACCTTCCAACTCTTATAATTGGCTGGCATTGAAAGACATTCAGCTGCAAAATTGGACAATATTATCATGGCGTCACACAAATATGAAATCAGATATGATCTTATGAGGGAGATAAAATTCTGATATGTGTATTGTAGGGTGACAGCAGTATGATAATGGAACCTTCCAACTCTTATAATTGGTTGGCATTGAAAGACATTCAGCTGCAAAATTGGACAATATTATCATGGCGTCACACAAATATGAAATCAGACATGATCTTATGAGGGAGATAAAATTCTGATATGTGTATTGTAGGGTGACAGCAGTATGATAATGGAACCTTCCAACTCTTATAATTGGCTGGCATTGAAAGACATTCAGCTGCAAAATTGGACAATATTATCATGGCGTCACACAAATATGAAATCAGACATGATCTTACGAGGGAGATAAAATTCTGATATGTGTATTGTAGGGTGACAGCAGCATGATAATGGAACCTTCCAACTCTTATAATTGGTTGGCATTGAAAGACATTCAGCTGCAAAATTGGACAATATTATCATGGCGTCACACAAATATGAAATCAGACATGATCTTACGAGGGAGATAAAATTCTGATATGTGTATTGTAGGGTGACAGCAGCATGATAATGGAACCTTCCAACTCTTATAATTGGCTGGCATTGAAAGACATTCAGCTGCAAATTGGACAATATTATCACACTGTGACACATATACAACAGAAGATATGATTATCCAAGAGATGTATAATTTTGATATACATATTGTAGGGTGACAGCAGCATGATAATGGAACCTTCCAACTCTTATATTTGGCTGGCATTGAAAGACATTCAGCTGTAAAATTGGACAATATTATCACACTGCGACACATACAACAGAAGATATGATTATCCAAGGGATGTATAATTTTGATATACATATTGTAGGGTGACAGCAGTATGATAATAGAACCTTCCAACTCTTATATTTAGCTGGCCTCGAAATACATCATTACATGTTCAGCTTTTAAATATTATCATGCTGTCGCACATGTATGAAATAATGTTTGACCACACGGAGATATAATATTGATATGTATTTGAAATGGGACAACATGATATGCAGGTGGCGAAGACAAACACTGTCACATAGGGGTTAGTGTGAAGTTAGTAATTGATTCGAGATAAAAATCATAGTTAAAAGATATTACCAAAAGTCCGATGAAATGCAAGCAGACCAGACATCCTGGACCCAAGTCAGTTGCTCAGATTGAGATTTTAATCGAGCACGAAGTTCAAATTTGAATGGAAGTAACCATGAAACCTTACCTCAGTACAAAAATGTGTTTGGCCCACATTTAGACACGGACGTAGGGTGGGTGAGCAAGCGCATACAAACAGATATAAATTGGTGATCATAATAATGGGAAGATGAATAACATAAACGAAGTCCATCGTACAACTGACTTGTGTAATAATATAACTGTGGAACTATAGGTGGTGAACTCGGACCTAGGTGGTACATCTGCAAGAGGGTCAAGAGAGTGACAAGGAAGGGGAAGATGTATACGAGGTTGACATCCAATCATCGGACCAATCATCGGATGAATCTGATTCATCCGTCTCAGTGGTGCCTGCATATCACTTAAGTAAGAGAAAACTCGAAAAAGCTACATGCTCACCGTCATCATTGTGATGGAACTCGGTGATACGTGCAATGGCTTCAGACAACATGTCAACTTCGGACTGGGCGCGTTGCTTCTTCAAGTCCAGAATGTGGAAATCAGACTTGAGCATACCCACTGATTTGAACTCCTTTGTTGTGAAACTGTTGCTGTGGTCGAGGCGTAGGGGTTCGTTAGATTCTGCTAATGATGCGCTCATGTATGCACCATATGTGAAGTTATCGACCCAAGTTTTCATCACATGAGGGAGGGGGATGAATTGATCGTCGGGCTGTACATTATAAGAACACTAACCTTCATAATATGAATAGCACTCACCCTTAGGACATGGTCGTGAAGACAGGGGCATTGTAAAGTTGAGGGGAAATCATGAAGTATTCGGCCAGCATTGGAATCTCGCGTGATATCTTGAGATTGCGACGACGTGCGAAGCCATGCATGGCATTTGTCTTGAACGGCCTTTGTAGGTTGGAAACAACTGACTGAGATGGACGATTGGCGTGCTCCCACAGATCCAACAGCTTTGGGCGTGGCCACCTTCTTTGGATCAGTATGACATGGAGCTAGAAATAAATTTTAAGGGTCGGACAAGATACTTCGAACAACATGGCTTACTTGGGTGACATCTAGCGTTTAACTCTTCACATAAGTTCGCAATAGCGCTACTGAACAATGATACTTCTATCTGAGCCCGATCCATTCGCTCCTCCATCAACAAACGCCCTCCTCGCTTGAGGTATTCCAAGCAACTTTCCTCTTCATGGTGGAGGCCTGTCTGCGTCGCATCCTCCTTGAGGCTCACTTCAATGAGAGTCTTAATATCAAGAGGATCGACCAATCCAAAAAGCACGGAAGCTGCGGTAAAGAGAGATTCTGGAAGCTGGATATGAAGTTATGAGGGAACGATATAAATATATATAGGGGTACTGACGGTTTCATGCCCCTTCGTCTGGAGCCAGTATACCAGGTCGTTCTCATTGTGTCCAAGCAACTTGAGGTCCAAAGGTGTGTCGCATGTAGAAAGAATAATATTTGACATGTTGAAAATGGTGGGCAGAGAAGAATGAGGTCGGGGGTGTTCACACGATGGTGAAATGCTGATGCTAACCTATACGTTTGAATTGGGAGTAATGGCCCAGTTATGGCGCATGATGGCCATCAAACTATAAAAACGTTAGTTAATATAATGACGATAATGAATGACTTAATTCACACACGTTTTGAAGTCTAGTTTCTCGCTTACACAAAATTATATTGCAGGTTTAGGTGCGCCATTGATGAAACTAGAAAAAGACCCGTGTGTTTTGGATCCTTCCGAAAGCCTCTAAGCGAGCGTAGATATCAGTGTGGGTATTATTGTTTACTTATATAGAAACTCATGTAATGGATCACATCGTATCTTAGCTCCAATAATACACGAAGGACTCGAAGCGGAACACACTGTACATTTCAAAAAGCTCTCTTTGTAAATGATATGGACGGAAACGTAAATTTAAGCAACCGCTTTTCGTTTTGTTGGGCGCTTAGGCCGGCTAACCCGTTGGACATCGCCCTTCCTACACATTGCATTCTGATCAGTTCGGAGTGTAGACACCGCACAAATGTAAACTCACTTGATGGTACATAACGCGCTCATAGCGGCCATGAATGACGTATAATCTGGGTCGTCAGATTGCTCGAATAGCATAGGAAGCGTCTCGCATACGTGTTTATGCATCTCGCTTGGAGACATAAACACATGAGTGTCTTTGAATTCTTCATCAAAGGTGTCCAGAAAGACGTCGTAACACTAATGAAATGAGTGAATGAAAACAGTATGTTTAATGAGGCAACTGACAGTAGTTACGACTAAGGCCAACGTGGCCACAGGCGGGTGTGCTGCCTCCCTAAAGGCTGTGGGATCCAGATCAGCGAGACAGATACGATAACCTGGTGTGGTGTTCTGCCGGAAAACTACATGGTAAACCGACTCTTTCGAGACCTGATGGCGGAGGAACTTCACTAAACCATTGACCTATGTGAGAAGATAAGAGTCTGAGTACCAAAGCCAATTCAGAATACTTACGGTGAACGGAAGGCAATTTGACTGTGGGGGCATCAGCTTCGATACGATGGACAGGATCTTATCATGTAGCGTAATCCCGAAGAGATGTTTCAGGTCAAAGCCGGCACGATTGGTCATGACTGAGGTGGACGCGTGACGCTTGTTGTCTTACATCCAAAGACTGAACCAAGCATCGCCCTGTTCCAGTATGAGATAGATAGGGAAGAAAAAAGATAACACGAACGAGAGCTAGGATGTCCATGTCAGACATAACATTATCGTCTGCCATAGTAACTGCTACGAGATCAGTATGCTTATAAACAGTCAGAGGGATCGAGCTGCTCACCCTTTTCCAAATCCTGCGGCTGCAACTCACACCGAACCAGAGTTTCGGGCCAGAGGGAAATAATCAGCGCCTTTCGCTCAGTAGCATAATCAGCCGTTACGAGTAAGAACAGACTGGGGTGACCTCCGCGGCACACGGCAACTCGTAGCATGCACCTAAGGTAGGCAAGGGCCTTTCTCCAGTTGGGGTAGCGAGTCATGATATAGGATAGTGTGGGTTTGTCTGTTTTCTGCGTAGTTCTGCGCTTGGTACCAGTTGAGCCTGTGAGATTCTTGGATATGTTAGCATCGGTGTCGCCTCCGCGTGCCGGATATGTGGAAGAGCCTATATATGAAGTCTCCAGGATGGATTACCCAAAGATTGAGCTGGGTCCGACCAAACCAGACTCTGAAGAGTCGGCGGTGGAACTATGCGCGCGAGATGCGACGAGAATAGGGTCGTAACGCAAACGATTAACAGTGGGAGATCGCACACACGATTCCAAAATGGAACGAGGGTCGACCATAGCCATGTTCAGTGGGATGAAAGGTTGTGTTAGACCAAACGTGAGATCCAACGCCGGCGGGAAAGATGTGAAGTTGAGAGCAGGGAATCCCACAGCATGGGGAATAGGCTCATAGCCTGCAGGATGGAGTGCGAGATGGACAGCAGTGCCGTCACTGTCCTATGGTATTGTCAGGCGAGATAGAATAAAATTGCAAAATATACTTACACAAGTGAATAAGTTGTAATGGTTGCCGTCGTGACCTATCTTTTGGCCTACGTAGGGAAGATTGAATGTACGAGACTGAGGTTCCAGCTGCGTGACTGATCAGTGGGAAGACGTAACACTATTGAGATTCAACTTACCGCATATATGGGCACCTCCATGTCTGACCTTTGCTCATAGACCGCGCAGTGTACCAACGGAGTTTGCAAATAAGCAGACAATATAGCTAGTGATCCCAACTAGAGCGGCGGTCAGCGTATATAGCACCCCTGCAAAAGAAAGAAAACTTACGATCGCAACACCTGCTTGTGTAGACTGCAGCGACAATGAGACATCACGAAGATTTTCTAGGTATGCAGATACATACGTAGAGAGGATAGAGTGTCATCAGCGACCCTACAGGAACATACCCCACGAAGGGTAACACAGCTGTCGCCTCAGGGCAATTTCGGAGGACAAACTGTAAAGAATTAGTCTCGCAGGCGGTGAAGTGAACAGCATGACATGACTTACTGAAAAAGTAAAAAATGCATCTTCTCGAAAGAGAATGGAGTCAAAGAATGGCGCACTGTTGTCTGCATCATAGAGGAAAACCATTGCTATCTAGGTAAGAGTCAACACCGCAAAGATGGTCTTTTATGAATAAACGCCCATATGTGAGAAATTATGCGAGTGCCATCGCAATGCCATCCCGTTATTACATGTAAATTCATGTGACACTCTGCATCGTGCTGATGTGCATAGAATAAAATGCGCCATCGCAGGCCATCGAGTTGAGTCTTAAAAACCTAAAATGTATTATGTACAAGAGCTCACCGCTAATTCTCGTAATCTAAATCTACATCGCTATCGTACATCTGATCAAATTGTTCTAATAATGATTCGTTGCTGTCGCCAAACCCCTCGCCGACGACTTGCACTCTCAAAGTACTGTCATCTTCCTCTTCTGTTTCGAAGTCATAGTCAAAGTCATTGACATCGACGTCATCTTCGGGGACACTATTTGTGCTCCCTTCTGGCTGAGGGCCAGCCGGTGCGCCATGATAGTGAGAGTAGACGTGTCCGACTCCAAGACCAAAGTGGAATCGCATCAGCATGTCGCAATCAACAAACCTGAAATCATGAGTTCAATATTGATTTGCACTAATTATTTTCCTGACTCACCGATTAACGAAGTACTCACGCCAATCATCATTGTCTCCTGCACATCCAGACATGCCTGATCCTTCCGGATGTCTTTTACCCTTCTCGAAAGATGGTATTATATGGCAGCCCCTCAAAACATCTGAAGGATCAAGGAAGTCAAACGAATACTCATCAGTCATGGGCGGAAACCTAATACGATCTAGAGTGGAGTTCTCCCAGGAAGAGACCTGCATCGTGGGCTCGTACCAGCGAACCCATAAAAACTCCATTGGGAGTGGGGTGTAGTTTACCATGCCACTTCCGACGTAGATAACGTTAACATGATATATGCCTAATACTTTACCATAAAGAAATCTGTGCCCTTGATTCCCCACATCGTTGGCATTGCGGAGGACCATCACGTTGCAGTGAGAGGTCTTGGGGTTGATGACGTCTTGGCCCCTGCGAACATCGTACGTAGTGTAGTTGAACCTTGCTATGTTGTGACGATACATCCGATCGTCCTTGAGGATGACCGCATCGATACCATCCTCTTCTCCCGCTCCTGGTAAAACGTGAATTCGTTTCAACAGATGAGACTTGAGCTTCACGACAAAATTCTGCGGGGGCGTTAGGAGACGTTTGCACATACCAATAACATTTACCTTGATCGCTGGATCACCTTCATGGCTGATTAGATACGTTCCTATGTGAACAGGGAATTTTTGTGTTGCGCCAATATGGTGGTGGACACATGGGCTTCTGGCTAATTCAGCGATTTCGATGTGCGGGCGATGAACTATTTTGTCGCCAATACGACGAATGCGAGCCTGGCGACGTTCGATCCGGGTTAATTGTTTTACAAACGACTTGCGATCCATCCGACGATATCTGGACTTGGGAGAACGGTGCTCGAGTTCACCCTGCAATAGTCAGTAAGTTAAGTATGAAGTTATATATATGGGACTGACAGGTTCGGAGCTGTATGAATCGGATGTGCCATATCGACGGATTGTAGACACATAGTCGCCTAAAGCGTGAAACTTGTATGTCTGGAAGTTGAAGGTCTTTGTGCGTTGAGCATTTTTGGATGATGTCTGTAACTCTACTGCCGCATTCCTTTGCTCCAACATGCTAGAGCTATGCTTGCCTGTCTGCTTTGCAGCTTGCTTTGCATTGCGTCGGGTACGAGCCTCGACTTCCTGGCGAAGTTCGTGCGTCACATAAGCGGAGCAAACCGTTGCTTTGAAGTCGCGAAATTGTTCGCCTACTGCTGAAGTTACATGATCCATAATATCTAGTGTCCAATCAGAGTGCATTCGGAGTTTGGCGAGTCCGTGCCAATGAGCCATGGTAAATAGCAACTGCAGGACGGATGAATTGTGCGGTTCGGGCAGAAGACCGTCGAACACAGGGATGGAGCACTGAGGATAGCGTCAAGTCTGATCAAGTGTCAATGAAAATGTGGTCATACCTGAAGTAAATCTTCGAAGTTTCGAGCTGCCATGCGCTTCATGCCCGAAGAATTGGCTGAAAACTTCCGGATAGTAGCTTGACCAAAGGTAGGAACTTGCCTGTATCTGGTGACAAAGAGGTCAGCTGAATGGGTAACGCATGCTCATGCAACGTACCTCCGGTCCAACTCATGAATAAGATCCTTGTTCTGCGCGGTAAGAATCCGCAACAAATGGATAAAAAGCATTTTCCAAACGCCGATCTCGAACTCATGCAAGAGATCTACTACAAGTGCGCAGAAAATGTTGAAGCCCAAAGGACCGAGGCGATCTATAAACGCATTCTATGGAATGGTTAGGCGTTGTTAGGGATGGAAGTTCAAGCCTTACCGAGGTTGGAACCCAGGACTGCGACTTAAGAATTTGCTCAACTGGAGCGCTCCCGACCGCGTAGTTTTTTTCGTAAATAAGTGACCGCGCAGTACTAACCATAGTCCTTCGCGTATCATTGCTGCGTGCAAGAGTTTCACGCTGTGTCCGATCTTGAGGCTTTCCCATGTTTTGAATGCGGTCTTTAGGTATAAGGCAACGCGGGCATGGACACCCTCCAAGATTGCGGACCGTGGCTATAAGGACCCTATTGAAATCTGAATCACATCTACAGTAAGACACAGACAAATTCACGTACTTTTCAGGATAATCTGCGGAGTAAGTAAATATCCTGGGGTAGAATCTGCGTGTGATGCCGTCGCAACAGAGGATCACGATCCCGTGCTCATACACCTCCAAGAACTCACTGTCCAGTAAGATATTCCACTGCTCGTGAAATAGTTCCCTGTGACAGTGTGTCGCACACTCGCTAGTCATGCCTTTCCCGCCTGTGAAATCCTTGAATGAATCTGGAAGCTGAAAGTGCAAAGTTAGATAACCAATACAATCAAATACTGGGGAAGCGTACCGTCTCGAAGTACGCGACGTGGTTACTCAAGTTGCAAGACGGTTTGCAGCGACGATACTTGGACTCGTTACCGAAGTACATGTAGGTCGGCCATAATTTGGCGTTGCCGAACGAAGTCAATTGTGTAGCGTCTGACCAAAACATTAAACCAGCTACGACTCGAGGAAGATTGCAGCCGGGCTCCCCGGGTAAATTTTGAATATCCATATGAGCGTCATGGAAGGCCGGGGACGTGTAAAGATCTCCGTATATGCCAACCTCGGCATCGAGGTGAGAAGGGTTCCAGCGCAGCTCATACGGTTCATAATGAAATAATTTATTATCTCGTTCGTTAGCTATCTTTTCCCGTATGACAGCCACAAGGGACCGATGGTAGAGATCGGCCGCCTGATATAGGCGAGGGCCCGGTGTTTCAGTCGTATGGGAAAATGGCACCTGAATTGACACTGGGGTTCTCTTCCAACCGGCATCCTCGTCTTCCCACTCTTCTCCATCGTCTTCGTCATACTCGTTGACACCCAGTTGGGAGTTTATTTTCTTCCAACGTGTGGAGCTCACGTCAGTGGCCTCAAAGTTGCCATCACTCAATATATCCAATAGTTTCATGTAGTCGTTCTGCGACTTTTGCAGGCCCTGGTTCCAGTACCAATCGCCAAGTCGGAAGGAGGAGCGATTGGGATAGGGACTGTATTGCGAGTCGCTGCCCGGAGCAGTGGGTGCATTGGGTTCGTCATCGGCACGAGAATTATCAGGGATGAACGAGAGATCTGCGATGGAGACATACTCTTCCGGATCGTGGGAGGGCGGTGTAGATGAGAAGTATTGTCGTACTAGTCCGAATATATTTGAGGGGGTACGAAATACAGATTGCCAGGATAAGGGTGGAGATTGATTGGATGAGACGACTTGTTCGTGATTGACGGATGCTGGAGGAAAGACGCCCGACGGCGCAGTAGGTGGTGGCAGCGGAAGGACGTCTCTAAATCGCTTGGGCAGCTGGCGATTCTGGCGTCTTGGTCTGCGCTCCGCCAAACTAAGTGTATCTCCGTCATTTCCCCCAACGTCACAGTCAGGGGTCATATCTCCTAAGGATGAGTTGAACGGAGGTACAACGGTAACCTCGGACTCTATGACAGAGTTGGCTTCACGCGAAACCAGGTGATTGGAAGGCGAATTAGACAGTTGACAAGGCGGCCCCATAATCGCCACAGGCTCAGCATTATAGTTCGAAGTGCGCGGCCTTTTTGTGCGAGTTACAAGTTCCTTAAAAGCGGATATAGCTGATGATAGGCGTTTTTTTGTTTGAGGGCAGGAGCGCTGGTGTTGAGAGAAGTGGTTCTGCGCAGCGAAAGTGCGCCTACACACACAGGTGTATCCGGGTTCTGACATGAGGAATGGATGGTCAACGCTGGAAGTCTATCGCCGGAGGATTTATAGAAAGAATGATGCGATTCAGCGTATGGCACAGGAATGGCGCCGAAATGGCAGGCACATGGCTAGATATGGCGATGGTGGAATGGCAACCAAATGTCGGAACAAAGCAGACATGAAGCAAAACGATAGCATAGCTATATAAATGCTGGAAATAAGAGCTCAGTCATCTTCAAGCTCTACGTCCTAAAATGAACGCACCAAGTTCTCCACATTCTGAATGTTCAACGATATCTACGGAATTCGAAGGGACTGCCGACCCCGAAGTTGTAAAGATGCTGGTGGCAATCCTCACTTGCCGCCATGGCATACTGCATTATCACGCTCAAACTGCAGAACTGACAACGTTTCAATGGTAAGTCATCTATCTTTATGAGAGAATATTCGTTACTCACGTACACCCAATGCAGGCTGACCGACCGATACGGCCATAAAATTCACCCTTCTCGATTTGAGGCTTATCGTAAGGCACATACATTTCGCTACCCATGTTGCCTTTGTGCCACGGGTAACAGATACGTCGAGGCATCTATATTTAGTTGCACTGCAGGGATATGTGAAGGGGAATATGTAGCAGAGTGCGCAACCGGCAGTTGTGGGTACATGGGTGAGTGAGCTCCTCCTCAGCTCCCTTCGTTTGTCACCAAGGTGCTAGGAGCTTATCTGATGACTTTAGTGAATATTGAAAAGTTTTTTGGAAGAGCCTGCGTACCTGCAGTGTATTATCCTCGGAGAGGTAATTGTCCAAACTTGCGCGCAAATCCATATGCCTATAACTCTTAGAGATCACCAAACGCCCCGCACGCTACCGTCTGATGCTGAGAAACCCGTATGGCTGCGTAGGATGTGCCGTAGTGTTGGGCCAGACATGGTGACAAGATAGGGGCTGTTAGACCGACTGCGGTATCTATACCAGACATCAGTATGTTATATCAACTAGAGGTAGAAAATTGGTACAATTTGCATTATCATTCAATGATGGCCTGAACGATATACGGTCAAAATAGGATCAATCGTTGACCAATCTGAAAATCACGTTAAGGATGTGAGTCACGATAACTTGGGTGTGATCTCACCGTCAATCTGGAGCGACTCCCAGAGCGTTGCACAATTTGCATTCATTCCGTATGTTTCCTGATGTCATTTAAACCTTCGCCTATTCGAAGTTACATTAACTTTACAATTATTTCATAAGCAAAATCAAAACAACCTTAAGCGTCTATCCTTCGGCGCAAGTCCAGCGCACCGCTGAAGTTTACTTCATTGTGAGGTACACTTAGGATTATCATGTTATTGTACTATAGTATTGTAATGGTAATAGACAGATACAAATTCCTACTACACGGTTGTAAGCGCACGACTACTGAGACAGACATGAAAGAACGGAAAGGAAAACAGATTCAAGCGCTGGAGGTTTATATAGTGACTGACTTGAGAAAATCAAACTCCGCCGGTAGTACCCGAAATAGAGTTAAGTCACGCATTATGTCATCACAATGCCCATAGTGGCCGAACCTTACGCCGACGCATCCCGCTCGTCGTTCAACACGACGAGCTCAATATATAATTCGATTTACTTTATTTTTTGGGCGTGCTTTATGTATATATTTATTTATTACCTCGCAGTACACTTAGTGAGTTTACTGACGCTTTTGCTACATTCTTATTATGTAACCCTTACGCTGACGCTTCCCGCTCGTCGTTCAACACGACGAACTCGATATATCATTCGATTTACTTTATTTTTGGGCGCGCTCTATGTATATATTTATTTATTACCTCGCAGTACACTTTGAGAGTTTACTGACGCTTTGGCTACATTCTTATTATGTAATCCTTACGCCGACGCTTCCCGCTCGTCGTTCCACACGACGAACTCGATATATCCCTCGATTTGCTTCATTTTCGGGCACGCTTCGTGCACGGATTTACTTATTGCCTTAAAGAACTTTAAAATACACTTTTTGTAATTGAAACATCCATTATCGAGAGCGAGAATGCGAAGAGACACGCTGTGTCTATTTGCCGAGGTGGATCTCAACCTCACCGGGTAACCGTTTACCATCAAGGGCGGGGCGGACGAACACTTCAGGAAGCTTGTGCGCACGTCTACCTTTGATTTCGAGCAGGACATCTTGCTCGATAACGTCAGCCATTTCCTTCTTCTGCTGCTCGCGCTTGTTGACCTCTTTCTTTAGGTCTGTGATTTGTTTGGAAATAGTATCGAAACGATGGCCATCACTTGACCGAACGAATGAAAGTAGAGTCAGGGTCTTCAAAAGGCTATTTGGCAATACCTTCAAAAACTCGAGAACACTCGTAACTCTGAAGCCATACTTACCGTGTCATCTTTCTTCCCGGCGAGCTGACCAGGAGTCTGGAAGTTGATGCGGAGGTACGTGTAATCCCCTTCGTCATTTTTGCTCGCATTCTTGATAGTGTTGATGTGGAAAGGTACAGCGAATCCGTGCACGGGCAGCACAATCGTTTGAGCTTTGCGGTCTACGCAGATCTGAGTGGTGTTGTTTTAGTATAAGAAGTTCCATACAGAAGTTGATGCACTTACTCGAAGACTTTCAACTTCTCGTGGCAGTGCGCTTTCACCCTTATAACTTTGGAAACGCTTCCAGGTTTTACCCTCCTTTTCACCGCCACCGCTAGCACCTTCAGAGTACTTCGCCAATCCAGCAGACTGGAGACCTTCATGCAGCTGTTGCTGATGTTCCTTGATCTTGGCCGCTGCAGTCATTAAAACTTCCTCCTGGGCAGCGCTACGCGTCTTGTTTCGCAACACCTTCCCACCAACCGTCTTGTTCTTGACGGGGGAACCGTTTACCAGAGGCTTCACAGGAGCCTTCTTACTGGGTTTGGACGGCTTATCTTCTTCCACCTCAATTTCATTTTCGGGATTTAGGAAGAAGAGCGTGTCTTTGGTGGATTTGGCGCCTTCAGTCAAAAGAGTTGATCTGTCAGCGCCAACGCGAATAGTGTCAACTATATGGAGGGCGTATCTGAAATAAAAGTATGAACGAGGCTGCCGTGGACCAAAGGAATGACACATACTTCTTGCCGTTGTCATCAAGCAAGTCGGAGAAGCCAAGAGACAGGTTTAAAACCATATCCGTCTTCGGGCGCTTGGAGTTTTTAGAAGAAAGCAAATACGCGGAATCACGGAACTCAACGCCGGTCTGAACGAGTTTGAGACTTATGGGCACATTTTTGATAGAGGATTACGCACTCCAAACCCAGCATTCTTGACAAAGTTCTTCTCAAGCTCTGGCTTTTCCTTTTTCACGATGTCCAATGCCCATTGATACACTTCACGTGCGCTGACGCCATCCTTGATTTCCTTCAGCATCTCGCTCTGCATCGACAACAGTAAGTTGTAAATGGCTTCTTGTTCCTGCGAGGCCGAATGAGACCAGTGAGAAAAGGACGTCGCTAACACTGACCTTCGAGGGGTCAACAATAATACTGCGCCCAAGATTGGCACAGTAACCCTTGTATCGCATACCAACGGCAATTAGGAAGACGCCTTTGTGTGCGATAGTGTCCGAAGATGATTCCGCAGTCGATCGCAAATCATAACTAGTGGTTGTTGACCGCGACTGAATGATGGGAGAGTAGCAGATCTCCGTCGATGCCCAGTCAACCTGGAATGACCCATGAGATGTACGAGCGAGTCTGGAAGAGCAGTTGACGCACATCATTGAGGCCCTGCCCTTTACTCCACACCTTCATATCAGGTCCTTTGGCAACTTCACCTTCACCCGACCCAAGTCGCGCCTCTATCTGAGTAGCAAATTGTTCATGAGTTATCTTAGCTTCCTTGTCCAATATCATCTCCAGTTTTAACACGATGTGGTGAACGAGCAAGGTAGAAGTGAGATTAGCCGCCGTACGGATGCATGTCTGCACTGTGCATTAGAAGACCGTTGGCCCCAAGATATAACTGCGTGAACACACCATTTCTTCTTCGTCCTTAATGGCCATGAATGCAGACAACGCAGGGGCCATATCGACCAATTCGGGTTTGTTGTCAGCTTTTGAGACGCCCTGCTCCCACTCCGTCATCAACTTCCCTGTGCACACTACAATTTCTGCACAATCGACTTACCCGATTGTCGTGAACGGGTGAGCAGTTCTTTCCAGGCGTACTCGAAGCTGAGTTGGCCAGTATGCTCTTCAGGCATAACAATTTCACGTTTGCATATGGAATCGTAAACGCTTTGCTGCTGGGAGTGAACACCATAGATCTTCAACAGCAGAAAGCCACCCACCAAGAACTCGGGCGAAAAGTTAGTACCATCATTAACACCTCTCAGGTTCCGCTGGTAATCCTCTATCGACATGCGTTTCTGTTGCTTTGTAAGATAAAGAAAGCGCATAAGAAGTGCAAAGGCCTGACTCGTATTTGCGGGTTGTGCTGATCAGTGTTGAGCATGATCACAGAGTACGCCAATACATAGACCGCATCTTCCGTCTTGATTTCCGCTGTGATTTAATGAACAAACAGTCGCATACTTTCGAGTTCAGGGCTCTACCTGGACCAGATGCAAAGTAGATTGAGGCAAAAGTTTAAAGTGCTAAGCAGATACAATATTCATCATGATAAGTCCACATCAAGGATCACCGCTTCTTGCTTTTGCCGTTCGTCTTGGGTTTAGCAGCGACCTTCTTCTTTTTAGGTCGGTCATCATCTGATTCGGAGTCTCCGCGAGTTCCCTTTGCCTCGGCGGCTCGCTTTGAATCGGCTGGTTTGCAAATAAGTATTTAAAAAGAGCGATGGTCAATATACGTACATTTAGCAGCTTTCCTTTCTAGCTCTTCCCAGTCATCACCGTCATCGCTATCATCATCATAACCCGAACCACTTCCTGAGTCGTCGCTCGCATCTGAGCCATCATACTCACTAGCATCAGCGCTGCTCTCCTCAGACTGCAGTTCCTCAGGATCTGCCTCAAACTCAGATTCGCTGTCCGAACCCACGTCTGCATCGCTCTGCCAACAATGCTTCAGCCCCCATGACGGATGATCACATCTAAGCACTTACATCGGCATCACCCCCACCGAGGAAACTTCGCCAACCGCCTTGCTGGAAGAAATCACACGGGCTCTCATTGATAGTCTTCATGATAGGACTCCAGTTCAAGTTGACCGGGCCTTCACCGAGAGGAATGTCGACCGAGCTGCGAACGCGTTCCATCAGTATCGATGTTCTACCGATCACAACGGACATGCATACTCTAGCCAATTCTTCACATCATCAAGTTGACCACTCGGTATTGAATTGATGTGTAACGGCGCTTTGGTGAAATCTTTGAAGATGAGTACGAGATCGAATTGTTTAAGCGAGAATTGAACACGTTCCAGCGAAGCAATCTCGATCTCGTTGAGGGTGACAACAAGGAATGGAGGGTCGATGAGATGCACGAGACATTCTGTTGTGGGCTGCAATCGGACGTTGGTGCGGAACGGCACTCCCTCGAACGACAATTCACGGAAGGGGATGTCAACTTCGAGTGTTTCACCCATAGACGTCGATGCTGCCTCGGCTACTCGCTCGGCAAAGAGTTTGAACTCTTTGTTGAGCATTTGTCTTCGCTTTCGTTCTTGTTGTTCCATCTCGATTTCATCCTCATCGCCGTATCTGTGTTTTCTCTTCCGGTTGCCAGTCTCATCGAACTGAACGTCAGAAGCCTCACGGAAAAACTGGATATCCTGTAGAAAAAATATGTTAGAGAATGTAATTGTTCTACGAACGGAACAACGTACATGTGCTTTCTTTTTCCCAATCATGATAGGTGCTCTCAGATGAATGTGAACAATAACCATAAGTTCCTTGTCACAAGGCTGGAAGAAGAGGTGCTTGATGTTAGTGAACAAAACATCTAAGGAGCACACGAGTTAACAATAACCAACAACAAGAAACGGGACATCATACCAATTTTCTGAGAGCCCATCGGAGACTGGTAGCGCAGACCGTTCTGACGAACGAAAGACAACATTGTGCTAATATTGCATTAATAGATAATTGCTACTGTAAATATGATATGCCAGTCAAAGAGCCAGCCAAACGGGTGCCCGCTAATCCCTGATATACACTCACAGGGACACACGATACAAAAGGCAAGGATTCAGAGGTCACGAATTCAGACCTGTGATTCAATGTGAAAAGGAAGAAACAGGGGTCAGCGCAAAACTCATGTGCAGGTAAAAATGAATGAAACATTCGATCGGGCCATTCACGGAAGTCTAGTTCAAAGTCTGAACCCAGTGGTATTTGCTGTATTTGGGGCGTTTGGTGCTGTCTGAGGCAGCTGTTGTTGCATTTGATACTGTTGACAGGTCATGGTCGGTACATTGTTAAGAACGTTGCAACCACACATACCTGGGTATAGACAATAGCATCATCCGTTCCTGTTTCACGTATACGACAAATGAAGGCGAGGATTTTGGAGTAAAGTATCTATCGGCAGCGAATGAGACACGCAGAATGTAATTGTTGGCGAAAGAGTGTTTACCGTTATTTCGAACGGGCGCTAGAATAGCTCGTTGTGCGGTGAGCTGAGCATCACCAAAACAACACGGCCGAGACCGTGGTCCGTGTTGCCCGATTCAATCAAATGAACTCCATTAAAATGCGTCATTTTCCAGCGGCCTTCACGCCTCTAATAGGTGTGACAGAATGAACTATATATTAAATCAACCTAAAGTAACACTAACAACATTAAGGCAAAAAGCTTGATCAATGTTAGGAAAGAAGAACCTGTGAGCCAAAGGACTGCGCATATATAGTGAACGACAATATATTCAAACTCAGCCGGCATTAAGCGCTACACCACCAACTGTCATATTCACACATTAGCCCTACTCAATAACAATTTTATTTGGCCATTTAATTTCGTGACAGCTCATGCAAAAGCTTCCGAAATAAAATGAACAAGTGACACACTTGGCACACACATAGTGGTGCTTGAAATCAGCTAAGTGTAGTGCTGCCACGGTCCGGTTCTGGACAGTTCGGTCCACAGTTCTGGTGTCAGCCCGAACTGAACTGGAAATCGGTTCTCAGTTCTAGGTCCTGCCGAACTGTTCCGAACCCTTATCAACTCTGACTTCGATGGCACTTACTTTGACGTCAACCAAACTTCGGGATTTGCACTCTACTCTTCTGCCTTTAGCCTTTTTGAAGGTACATACTGAGTAATCAAAATTTTGATTCTCTCACACATTGACATTTGTTTCAATATGTCACAGATATATGTTTCCTTGATCACCCACGCACTCAGATCCATCTCTCCTTGTACACTTCCTTTCCCTTGTGCTACTTTCCCTGGATCCACGCCACATGTTAATCAAAGAGGGCAGTTTATCGTGAGTACTGAACCAGTATACTCGAAGTTGTGTGTATCCACTCATGACTCCAGGTTCAAGCACATCATCACTTTCAACATGGACGAGTATGTCGGCATTCCTCATGACCACCCAGAATCCTACCACACATTCATGTTCTGCGAGTTTTTCTCTCATAGTCCGTCTAGTCCAGTCACCCTCGCTGAAGAATCCTATACTAATTTCATAAATGCAGTCGATATTCCCCTCTCCCAAGTCAATTTACTGGATGGGAACACCAAAGACTTGGTCGCCGAATGCAACACATATGAGTTTTGCATCAAGCAGGGTGGTGGTATCGAGCTCTTCCTGGGTGGTATTGGCGAGGATGGTCATATCGCATTCAATGAACCTGGTATGTCTCGTTTCTTCACCTCATGTTGTCCCTTTCCTTGTGGCTTCTCTGCTGTATGATTGTTTTGTCTTCTTGACACGTCCACTGACTTGGATAATGCTCATTCCTATCAAAGGCTCATCCCTCGCGTCCCAGACCCACATCAAGACACTTGCTTTTGACACCACTGGATTGAACCTCCTGCCATCAAGTTCAGTGCCCTCTCACTACCTTCAGCATCATCCCGCTACCTCTCTGACTCAGGGACTGGTGCTCAATCTCACGCTGCTGCTCGCCGCCATCCTCGACCCATGCCCATGATCACCACACATGGTAATTGGGAGGGAGCAGTCATGTTATTAATTAGTTACTCAACATGTATGTAGACTACTTAGTACTTTGTCAATGTTTTTTTGCATGCTCTTACACTTTTTTTTTTGGTTTGGTTCAGGTTCGGACCCCAAAAAAACAGAACCGGACCATAGAGAACGGTTCTCTATGGTCCAGTTCTGGGTTCGGATATTTTGTAGAACCGAACTGATGGTCCGGTTCTTGGTTCTCATCTAGGATCCTCCGAACTGGACCATGGCAGCACTAGCTAAGCGAGGCACAGGGGTTTCTACTAGGGATTAGCACAGGTAAATCTGTGGGTGTCATGAGCTCTACCCGCACCTGTACCGGCCATATACCCATACCTGTGTACCCAAGGGTACCAATGGGTACAGGTCTCTAAACAGGTATTGATGGGTTGCACAGGTATCACAGTAAACCTGTGGGTATGCATTAAAACTCTATAAAACATATATTAGTAGCTACAAAAATATATAAGTCTTTGTTGTTGCCTCGGTAGTCAAAGAGAAAGGAGAGTAGATTTGCGAGGTTATTTAATGATGCAGACTGATGTGTGACTGACTGGATGCAAGGCCAGTGCTTCTCTGTGAAAGTGTGATATCCTGATCCAAGTAGTTATGTCATGGCTCAGCTTAGCTCAGCTTAGACTCGGCTTTTACCAGTCACACTTGCCATTCAGTTATTCTCATTAGTTGAACCACATTGTGCAGTTTGGTTCGACTTACTAGCTGCATGAACTGGCTATGAGTCATTTATCCAGAAATGTTGACTCAAGCCAGTTCAAGTTGACAGCAGTCAGTTTCAGTCATGTGGAAGTTGCCTGCCATGTTAAATTCTCACTGTAAATTTTGCAACATTTAGCTGCTGTGTAGCATGAATAAGTCTCCATTTCGGATTGATGGTAGATTCAGGCTGGAAAATATTTTGGAATCAGGTTCATATGTATGTTCGTACTATGATGTCGATAGTTGATTGATTGATATTCAGGGTTTCAACATGTATTAGTACTAAATGTCGTGTACCATGCACAGAACTTCCTCAATAATGATATTGTTGCAATCAAACTCAAACCAGTCACCAATAATCCATCTTCTGTCGAGCATGAATATTGCATTCTCAGGCAACTCAAAGGTGGAGTTGGAATCCCCCGTGTCCCTTGGTTTGGCAGGGAGTCAACATATTATGCCTTGGCTCTTGACCTCCTTGGTCCATCACTGGATGATCTCTTCCTCACATGCAACCACAAATTCAGACTTCAAACTGTTGTCAACTTAGGAGACCAGCTGGTACTTTAATTCAAATGTGCTGTGCTGCAGATACTGACCTATTTTCCAGCTGTTGCGTCTCGAGTACATTCACTCACATGGTTACATTCATGGCAATGTCAAGCCGCAAAACACTTTGATAGATAATTCAGAACAAACGGTCTATATTATTGAGATCAGTTCCTGTTAATGAGACTCAATGTGAGAGCATGGCAGCGGCGGGTGTGGATAATTGATGGATAGTAGGCTAGGTGATGTCACAGAGGACTGAAAGCATTCAAGTCAGAAGAACAACTCGTCGAGAAATGTTGACAATGTACATGACTTGTGGCTGTCTTGCTATAACACTCGGGTTGGCGCTGGGCACATATCTAGTCGAAATCACATCTTACATTCCTCAATACATTTCCGATCTTCTGAAAGTTCCGCGCACTTGTCCGAGTCGTCCGAAGGTCGTCCGCCCATTTCTGAGGCCTTTCTAGCTTTTCCGATCCTATGTACCATGTCCTATCCTTGTCCGTTTGACTTTGCTGGTGTGTTTTTCACTTGGTTATCTGTTATTGATTATTTCTAGGGGCACATACATCGAAAATCCTTGCTAATCTGTATAGATATGCACCTCGTGCATTATTACATGTATATCTTTGTAGCGACTCGCCTTGAGTCTTATTACATTTCAAATGTCTTATCTCACTACCGTTTTTGCCTACACAAATTCTGGACTTTCACATTGTAGGATATATTCTCACTTGCTAGATACTCGCAACTTACCTCACTTCCCTTGCTTCGAGTCATAGTTAGTAGTAGTCACTTTCGGAATTTAGTACTTCATGCAATCAATCTTTGTTCATTTGGAACGATTGTTTGGCCTCACTGCTGCCATTTTGCTATTGAAATCCTTAAGTCTTTTGATGGACTTCGCTAGTCATACTACGCAGAGTTCTATACTTCGGCAACTGCCGTATTCTCTACCGGAAACCTTGCTGTTTCATCGGAAGCCTGCCAGAAGCTTCACGCAACCTCAGACCTTCATTTCTTGACGTCGGACCTTTACTGGACACTTCGGACAACTCATTGGACACTTCGGACAATTCTTCGGAAGTCTGAACATACTTGAGGTATCTTTCCCTTCTCTCTCCTTCAATCTTAACTAGATATCCCTTGCATTTATATCAAGAGATAATCCTACAGGCAGTCTCTTTGGGACGAACATCTCACTCGCACTTTTGAGTCTTAAGGTAACACTTTTTGTATAGCCCACCAGGAATCAACTCTTTACAACTGGAGCCCACCACGAGGGACTCCATTAAGATCAGAGAAAGAGAGCTTCAGAGAAATCCTCACCGCATTCTACAGAACATTGAATTTCCACAAGAGACTTTATCATTGAAGCTGACATCCCCGGACCATTGGAACTTCCTTCACACGCATCTTCCGAATTGTCCATATTACAGCAACTCTCCCTGAATACACCCGACTCTATGCTACTCCCCGATACTCGGGAAGAAGAAGACACAGATCCTTCCAATAACCATGCTGCACAGCCATTCCATTCCTTATTTTCAGATAGTCTGTTATCGGAAACTCGTGCCAATCTGACGGACGAAGTGCGCATCACAGCTGCAATCCGGCATGTTCCTGTAGAGGAATCCAAGACATGGGAAATGCTCGACGAAGCCAACGGCAAAGATTAAAAAAAGTTCTATGACACACTTAAGCTCCTGTACCCGGGATGCAAAGGTGACCATCGTTACACTCGGAGTGGTCTAGAAAACCTCTGCATGGAACAATCATGCATTCCTATCCGCACGTGCCACGAATTCGGAATGTATTATCGGAGCTTCCCGAAGATCTCCAAGTTCTTAATAGCCAAGAAACAGCTCACCAAGCTCTAATGGGACAAATTTTTCCTGGATGGTATTCACGAAGCGGCTAATACTATCATTCACAGACACTTAGAGATCAAGATGGTAGATCATCACCCGGACGAACTGTACCCAATGGATAAGGTATATACTGCAGCTGTATTCCTGCTACCCAAAACCGCGGCAGTGGTTTCAACTAGTATCGCGTCTCCTTCGCCAGCCCAGCCAACTTACCGAACAGTGACTGCGCCGACTCCGATCATGCAACCTTCCATAACAATGACACAGCCATCCAGCAATGTTGTTGTTAAGAAGGAATATCACTTGCAAAGTATGCCATACAAATGCTACTTCTGTGGAGGTAAGAACCATATCGCGAGATGGTGCAATAGTCACCGTGATTATATTAAGAGCAGAAAGATCATTGAGAACAAGGGCAAGGTATATATGCCCGACAGTAGTGGGATTCCCAGATCTCGGGAAGACAGTTCCTTCAAAGACCGGTGTAGAGACTCGCGCGTCTCAATGACGAATATCCAGCCTTTACCTATACATTCCTATATGTTACAGCTCTACTCCTAAGGACCAGTCTCGCGCGCGCCTCCTCATAGGTCTTCGCGCTATCGTCCGTCCATCCGTCCCATGTCCTTACTGATTCGCTGGTGCGTTATTTCTATCTTGTCCATTGAACTAATAAAATCTTCGGTCCAACGTCTGCGCTACTTATGGAAAGTTTATTTAAACTTAGTTATAATTAGAGTTGATATGGTTACTCGGTTCGGGAGTGCGCTCGGAAGCGCGCCTTCTCCATTCTTAAATACAGAAGGGTTTCCTTTGGTTCTGGTACTTACTTTTCCCTTATCTTTGTATACTGGAAAGTGAATAGATCGCCTCTCACTTGTTATCTGATCTTTTCCTCTGGTCAATCATCCATCTGTGCACTCACTCCTCAAGAAGATCTTGCCTCTAACGCTTTAGGCGCGCCTTCACTTCGCGCGCGCGCATTCTCGGACCTCCCGCTCACGCGCGCATCTCGCGCGCGTTATCTTCTCGCGCCTATTAGCGCCCGCCTAGCTCACAGAGTTTCCCTCCACTTTTATTTCGAGGAACTTCTCTCAGTGGTTGTCCTTTGGGTCGAGTCGTTGTCTCGTATCCCGGTCTTGCTGTTGAGCACCCCTTTTGTTTTAAGTGTTTTTACGTATAGTCAAGATTCCTCATCTACACCGGGTCGATAAATATGCAGGTCAACCACCGGCAACCAGAGCTAACACTATTCAGGTACAAGCCAGAGTATACTACTGCACCACACCGGATATCGAAGTTATCACGGAAATCGACTCATCGGCATTTCTGCACACCTGTAGTGAGACCATAGATGACGAGGAGGAACAGGAACACTTGGAGAAGATCCGGGAGGTCAATGAGGAGTACGCGGCATTCACCACCAAACACATGAGAAGATCGAACAAAGGTAAGACTGCTAGGTTTGAAGGCGTTGATATTCCGCTGCGCCTGAAACCAGGACCTTCGTCCAAAGTCACGGAACAAGCGGAGGAGATCATATTCCCAGAGGTAAGGGAAGCAAAGACCAAGAAAGCACCGAACCCCGGAATGGTAGTTGTGAAATCAGCAGCCAAACCAACCAACGCCAACCCAATTGTTCCGGTTGCATCATTGTCGACAACCCCGGCCCCACAATACCATTACACATTTCTGTTAGAAGACAAGGACATAGAAAAATGTGTTATGGACAGAATCCTTGACACAGACGTCAATGTTCCTATCCGGGACCTTATTGCATCATCATCGGACATCCAGAAAGCATTGAAAGATCTCACCACGTCCAAACAAGTCACAGTTGGTACGGTTTCAGTAAACGAACTCAGCGGTCACCCCCAGACGGAGCAATTCCTGAAGGGATGGGACAAACATATGAAGAGAGCTAACGATGGACACATTGTCGCTGACCATTTTAAGTCATTGCGAACCATCTGGGGCACTACAACTGGAGGCTGGGTACTTACCTGTGTCCTCGATCAAGGTGCTGAGGTGATAGTAATGTTGCAATTGGTATGGCGCAGTCTCGGAGGAGTTCCGCTTCATTCGGATTATCAGATGACCATGGAATCGGTCAACATGTCGTCAGATCAGACACTTGGAGTCATGGAAAACTTCCTGATCGATTTCGGAACCGGAGACATGCTATTCCAAGTCCAGATTGTTCTGGTCGCTGCTTTTGACGTTCTTTTAGGCAGACCATCTTTCACGCTAACAAGTTGCAAGACGGCTGATCTTCCGAACGGAGATCAGGATATCACGCTGACAGATCTGAACAACGGTAAGATCATCTGGATTCATATGGAACCTTGGATGAAAAAGTGCCTGAAATGTAAGCATGGTATGTTGTGTATGGACCACCCGATGCCGAAGGGTTTTTGATGACCGATGATCCACACCCATGGGGAGATCTACGGACTATCGATATTTCTAATTCTCCATTTTGTATATATCGCGAAACTAACTGTCTTGCGCTACCCATGCAACCCTTGCTCTCACAGAGCACTGATACCCTACCCGTTCCTTCTATCACGCAACCCCTGTCGCACTATGATTATCTCATATCCATGCATTCCTGCATTAATCGCGCATCTATCGACACATTTCACAGTGTATATTCTGTCGACCAAGCCAAGCATGTGCTGGTGTACAAACCATTTGCGAAGAAAGTCTGCACCGTACCCACGACTATGCCACCGGAATCCCAGATTACGAGAAGATTACTTGATGATCCTTTGGCCGGCATGCCTTCATTGCCAACCCATCCACCTGACTTCGTTCCAGGCGTCTGCTTCACACAAGAAAGATTGGACAATTTAGATTTGGATCTCGCAAAGTGGCTATGGCCGGAGGAACTTAAGCTCGTACATTGGTTGGTCTCGGCACATGAAAAAGCTTTTGCTTGGAACACGAGCAAACACGGACATCTCAATGAGATCTATTTTCCGCCAGTCAAAATTCCAACGATTCCGCATATTGCTTGGTCTCAGCGAAACATTCCTATTCCTCCAGCAATTACGAATGAAGTCATCTGCATTGTACGGGAGGAGATCGACACCAGAGTTTATGAACCTTCCACTGCCACATACCGTTCATGATGGTTTTGCATTGTCAATAAAGACACAACCTCCCTCCGTTTAGTTCACGACTTGCAGCTTCTCAATCAGGTAACAATACGTGACACTTCCATTCCGCCCTTCGTCGATCATCTCACCACGGCTTTCGCATGCTATGGATGTTACTCAACTTTGGATTTGCTTTCAGGATATGACCAGCGGTCACTTCACGTAGACTCGTGGGACATGATGACATTCGGAACTCTGCTCGGACCTCATTGGTTAACCACACTTCCACAGGGACATGCTAACACAGTTCAAGTATACCAAGGTGATATGGCTTTCATTCTGCAAGACGAGATTCCGAACTTTATGTATCCGTTCATTGATGATGTTCCGATTAAATCAGTGAAAACACGGCACCAGAGAGCTGACGGCTCATATGAGACCATTCCGGAGAATCTGGGCATCTGCCGGTTCATATGGGAACATTGCACAGTAGTCAACTGCATACTCCAGTGACTGGAGAATGTCGGCATAACGGTATCCATTACTGAATTCGTTTTAGCCACACCGACAGCTATCATAGTCGGACATAAGTGTATGCTCGATTTAGCCACACTGACAGCTATCATAGTCAGACATAAGTGTATGCTCGATTTAGCCACACCAACAGCTATCATAGTCGGACATAAGTGTATGCTTGAAGGACAAATACCTGAAGAATCTAAAGTGCAAAAGATCTGAGGTTGGCCAGAGTGTTGCAACGTCACACATGTGCAGGGCTTCCTCGGGACCTGTGGTGTCTTATGCATCTTTATCAGGATTTTTTCTAAGATTGTGCGACCACTTGTCAACCTCACACGGAAGAACACACCCTTCGTATGGGGCCCAGAACAACAAGAATCGATGCAGACCCTGAATGACTCCATATTAGAGTCCCCCACACTTCGTCCGATTGATTATGAATGTGGCCGAGAAGTCATTCTCGCAGTTGACACGTCTAATATCGCAGTTGGGTACATTCTTTTGCAGATCGGAGAAGATGGAAAACACTATCCAAACCGCTTCGGATCTATGGCACTTACGGAAGTTGAAAGCAGGTATTCACCAGTGAAACTGGAGTTATACAGTTTGTTCCATGCTCTCCGCGCAGTCCGAGTTTTTATTTTCGGAGTCACCAACCTCATGGTTGAGGTCGACGCCAAGTATATTAAGGGGGTGATCAATAACCCCGATCTCCAACCAAACACAACAATCAACCGATGGATCGCTGGTATTCTTTTGTTCCAATTTACGCTAGTTCACATTCCCGCAGTGAAGCATGCTGGCATCGATGGACTCTCAAGGAGACCTCGCGCTGACGAAGATCACGTACTTGTTTTCTATGGAAATTCTCAATGACCACTTGCACGCTATCACACAAATTGATGCTGATAATCTGCGCCGCCTGCATGACTCACCTGTTCCTAATCCGCTAACCCATCCCCCCATGCTATTTGTTTTGTTAGGTACTGCCGAAATTAACTCCGAAACCCACATTCCACATTCCAATGTTGCAAAAGCACAGGACTTAAGGATTCTCAATATCTGGAAGTTCCTTGAGGACCAGACAAGACCATCAGAACTCACAGACAAAGAATACAACACCCTGGTTAATGTGTTGCGTCAGTATTTCATTATCAATGGAAGAATGTGGAGGAAGCATATGCAAAGGAAACACCAGCTTGTAGTTCACAAAGCGAAGCGATACAAATTGCTCAAGAGGCGCATGATGACCTTGGACATAAGGGAGTATTTACAATCTGAATCCGTCTCCTTCTCCGATTCTGGTGGCCACTGATGCTTGATGATATCAAATGGTACAACAGGACTTGCCACAAATGTCAGATAAGACAAATTTGGAAGTTGCACATTCCGCCGATAGTTCTGGTACCTGGAGGAATCTTTTGAAGGGTACACATCGATGTTATGATGCCAAAAGCCGGAGGGTTTGACCAAATTATTCATGCTTGTTGTGCACTAACAGCTTACCCGGAATGGAGAATGCTTCAGAAAGAATCTATGAAGATTATAGTGTCATTTATTTTTGAAGAACTCTTTTGTAGATGGGGTCCGATTGTAGAAATCATTACCGACAACGCGCCAGTGATCAAAGCCGCGGTAGACGACCTAGTTGCGCGATATAATGTCCATCATGTCCGGATATCACCATACAATTCTCAAGCTAACGGAATCATAGAACAGCGGCACCAGGATGTCCGGGAGGCCATCATGAAAAGTTCCGAGGGGGAGGAATCCTGATGGTATTCACATGTGCACGCAGCCTTTTGGGCCAAAAGGGTAACTATCCAGCAGTCCGCCGGACTTTCGCCTTACTTCATAGTACACGGAGTAGAACCAATATTCCCATTTGACCTCGCCAAATCAACTTTTCTTGTAGATCTCCCAAATTAACAGACTTTGATGTCCGAAGACCTGATAGCATGGCGCACCTGCCAACTCACGAAGCAACAAGAAGATCTAAACAGCATCACGGACAAAGTCATGAAAGCACAATTCCAGTCCATCCGCGAATTTGAAGAGAAGTTCTGAAACACCATCAAGGACCACGACTTCACTCCAGGCACTCTAGTACTTGTGCGGAACTCCAAGATTGAATATGAGCTTAACCAGAAAATGAAACCGAGGTACCTCGGACTGATGATTGTCCTTTGCAGGACTCTTGGAGGTTCGTATGTATTAGGCGAGTTGGATGGTGCAATATTCAAGCTTAGATATGCAGCATTCTGTGTACTTCCATACTTCCCATAAAGCAAAAGCAAAGTTTCCATAACCAGCGTCACCGGCCTTGACAAAGAAGCATTGGACAAGATTGCGAATGAAGCGGTAGAAGAGCCAGCAGATGAAGAATTCGACATGGGATCCGATGAATAACTTGCGATGAATCCATTCCTTCCGAAACATACATAAACACAAAAACAGTACAATAGTCTCCGTTTTACCCCGGGTTTAGTCCAGTGATCTCTATTTCATTTTCCAAACTTCCGAACACTTCCACATATGATCCGCGCGAAAGCATATGTACAATTATCTAGTGACATGGACTTACAAGATCAAACTTTAGGACTTCCGATCGTATTTCGTGCAGTGATGAGTACTGTACATCTTCCTATTCTTATGCAGAGGCAGTGCACCATGAACTTTGACAGACTTTGCAGAACCAAGGCACTATGATCTGACCAACCAAAGGAATAGAGGGAGACAGAGCAATGATGAAGACAAGATGGACGGTAATCCATGCAATAGGATATTGTTTTTCTTTATGTTCCGAGACTTCCGATAGTGAGTGCTCAATCTTCTTCTTATTTTTCCTTAGGCACAGCGAAGATCAAACTGGAACTTAGGAACATGGACATGGTATTGGACTCAGGATGCACACCGGAATAACTGAAAACCAGGACATCTATTTGCAAATGCAGAGCGATATAGTACAATTGTTATTGAGAAAGAAGAGAAAGAAGGTATCTACTTGCAGATCCGGCACCTCTTGGCCATGAGTGCGCCAACCCAGTCCATCTCCAACTTCATCTCCTTCATGATTCCCTCCACCTGCTGGGACTTTGCACCCCAGATAGTGAACTCCTGCTCCAACTCCTTGTCGATCTCATTGAGATCCAAGTCTTCGTCTTCCTCAACTTCTGAAGCCTTCCTCTTCCCTTTTGATGAAAGGCTATTAGAGCAGCCTTCAAAGCAAGTGTGGCTTCGCGTTCTTTCACAATCCAATGTGCGGTCACAGCAAGGAAGGGATGGAGCTTAGAATTGGGGTAAGGTCCTTGACCTGTGAAATCCTTCTTGACCATGTCTTAGAACTCCCTGAGCGCCACCGGATCCACATTGAGTTCTGAATCCCACTCCAGATACTGACACATCTTGTGTTCCATCTGATTTATTTCTTGCAATTGGAACATACCCTTGGCTACAATACTCCAAGATTTGTTGGAGTAAGTGTCGTCACAGATAACCTTGAATGTGAGTATGAAAGCGGATATGAAAAGATGGTGACCCGAAGATCCTCAAGCAGTGGGGAAGCACACTTTGAGTTGCTGAAGGAGGATGAGGGCAGTGAAGGTTACAGAAGACAAAGGGGGGTACTCTGGACAAGCAAACAGATGCGTAATGAAGCGACCACATAACCAGAAAACCTGCTCATAACCATAGAATGGGTCAGAATATCTTGTCGTGGGTTGAGTAGACTGAGGTTTATTAGGAGGTGCCTATGTATGTATGATTAAGGATATGAATATGATGAGCAGCTACTAAAAACTGACTGATGGTGCAGGATGATAGCCCATTTGCAAATGAGGAACATTCTGGGTATTCTGAAATGGGGAAGGGTGGGTAGGTATTATAGGACCGTGTAATACAGCAGCCATAGTGATGGATGATGGTGAGTGGAACGGGCGGTGTCGTGTCATGAAGGTTATCTGAAAGTGCAAGTGTGTCAGAGTTTGGGAGTTTTAATTAGTTAGAATGGGATAGGGAAGAATGATGGGGTATATAATTTGAATTAGGGCAGTGTGAAAGCAAAGAAGGAAAACAAATGGAACCAACACCATGAGCCTGGACCTGGGATACAAAGATAGGCAATTGGCTTCAGATTAAGATTCAGAAGTTGCAACTTAGTTACAACAGTAAACTCAACCAAACAACTTCACAAGAAATGCAATCAAATGCTGACATAATCAGATTGACAATCCATTGAAACACACCTAAACATCAGTTTCAGAACATCAGCGGTATTTATATTAGTGTAGGGACAGTGCATAATTCAGAATACATGAAATTAGAATACCCCTTGAGCTAGCTCAACTCTGAGCTGAATTTCCAGCACCTGGACCTGCAACTATTCCCTGGGATCACATCACCAACAGTAAGTAGCAATATTCAGTGCCAAAGTGGCTGGAGGAGGCAGGAAGGGATTTGTGGTAGGTGGAGGGGTTGTGTTGGACGAGGAGGGAAGGATATAAGTCGGGTAAGGTCCTTGACCTATGAAATCCTTCTTGACCATGTCCTCGCTCCAGATACTGACACATCTTGCTGTAGGACTTAGAGTCCTTGTGGCCTTGTAAAGGCTATTTTTGCAGTGTGCCATAGGTCCTCACATTGCGTGCACTAATGCTAATGCGGCACACATCTTTTCCGCTATCGGTCAACAGCTGCGGCTCGCACGTGTGTATTGGACCGCACCGGCTTTTCTTCAGCTCCATCGCACATCCTTATCCTGTCCTATCCATGTCCTCCACTTGTCTATTGGTGCATATTTTACTTGATTTGGAATAGACTGACCATATTTCCGATGCTATATCGTTTATATCTCTATTACTTTCGTCATGGACCCTTATTACCTACTACCACTACCTACTTGGCTCCAAATAGTGCTTCGGCACACTCTCATATATACCTGTACTTATGAATTTTCATGTATCTTTTACCTCCCACATAGAATCTATCATCCACTTGCACACATCAACGTCCGAATTCAAAATCTAAACTTCACATCAATCGCCACACATGTCTACCTATTGGCCATGTTATCCTATTGGTTCTTTGTTCCGACAATCTTCGAGCTACTTACAAATCCACCGCTTCACCTTAATGCTTCGCAGCGCCCGCATGTCTATACTGCACAGCCGTGCATTACCATGCGTCTACGTATCTTCGGCTGCTCAATCTTGCTTTGCGCTGCGTCAACAGCAGCTCGCTCGTGCTCGCATTGCATTGTGCTAGTCCTTGTGTTCCATCCATTCTCAACCACTCTTATGAGTTTCAGTGACTTCCCTCCATTTTTACATAGAGGAATCGTTCTCAGTAGCAATCCCCTTGGGCTGAATCATATACTTGTGTCCAGAGGTCTATTTGAGTTTTACCCCACTTCATCTTTTCACCCCTTTCACCCCTTCTCATCTAGCTATCATTCTTTGCACACATCGCACTCCATCTGGTCAATGATTTTACAATCTTTTCCAAGGACATCAGAGAAATTTCAATGGTACAAAGTAAGCACTCACAAGAATGAACGCAGCAGCATGAAGACCCTCCCATAGGCCAAGGGCTATGATGGCGTGGTAGACACACCTGAGGAAAGATCCAGCTTTCTTGTGCTTCATGTCATGATGGTTATGGTGGTGTAATCCAGCTTTGTCGTGGTGATGGTAAGATTCAGCTTCATGATGGCGATAGACCTGCAAGATGTACCCATCAGGAAGAAGCTCCTTGATATCACCCAAATTTTGCTTCTCAGAGGAACTGGTGGGGATGTTTGGTGTAACGGGTTGCACGAACAAGGGAGGATTCAGAGGTGTAAGCATGATTGTACTCTGTGTGACAAAATGGATGGCAGCAACATTTAAAATCAGCCAAAAGGTTTTGGGAGCAGCTGAAAGGTGCATTACTCAAATAGAAACAAAAAGAGCTCAATGTTGTTCACAAGTCTAGTAATTATGATAGCTAGTCGAACTTCCACCATCGGAGTACTCTGGTTATGGGAGAATTGGAAGTTCATATGGATCATCGTCATTTGTTCGATAGTGTGCTTGTGAAGTTCAAATGCACTACCATACTCCTTGTGGCCATCAAACAGAACTATACAGAGTGCCCAGTGGTGTTCTGTTTTCTTTGCACCTCCTCCATTTTTAATTGACGCATTTGCACCTGGTTCAGGGTACAAGCCCTTTTGGATGGTGTCATCAGATGTCACAGCACTGATGAGGGACCAGGTCAAAGTATCTGTCCAACTGACAGCTCAAGGTGAGTTATGTTTCATCTGCTTTCTGATATCTTTCACACACTCGATGTTAGGGACTTCCTTGTCATTATTTTTCTTGTTCTCAGCCTTCTCAATAGCCTCCATGGTATCTCTGACTTTGACTTTGGTACCCACTTGCCGCACTTTTTTGACTTTTTTGACGGGCACTTTCTTACAAGCTTTCAGCAAAGATTGGACACCTTTTCCTTTTGGTGCCATGCTGCTCTAGTGCAAAGAGGGTGCTCACAGTTGCTTGCATGCAGGACAAGTACATTTAATTAGATATGTGTATTTTTAAATAGAAGAAATACAGCTGTTTACAGTCTGAAATCCGATTCAGAATTGTGAGAAGCACCTCCAGAGGTGCTTTGACAATTCAGCACGATTCGACATGCAATCTGATTCTCAGTGTCCAACATTGTTTTCTGAATCACATGCTGAATCACCTCAAGATTGTCCACTCTGACTACCACTATTATCTGTATATGAAAGTGTTATGCAAGTATATATCTACATCCTTTTACATGAAGTGCATCTTCTTGGCCAAATTTGCATGTTTGTCTTTCCTCCAGCATTAAGGTCGGAAGTGTCGTCATGGCTAGAGATGGTAGCAGCATCGGAACCCATGCATATTACGGGGTTGAAATAGAATGTGCCATGCGCACTAGTCTCACTGTTTTGTGGTAGATCCCTTGGCCAAATTCGCTTTCCTCCAGCATTAAGGTCGAAAGTGTTGTCATGGCTAGAGATGGTAGCAGTGTTGTAACCCATGCATATTGTGGGTTGAAATGGAACATGCCATGTGCACTAATTTCACTGTTTTGCGGTAGATCCACCCCTTTCTTATTACATGTATAGTAGTTAATGGTGCAGGCTGAGCTCATTGCTCCTCAAATGTTTATTGTTGAATAGTCTAGCCTACTACAATTCTTTGTACTGAAAATTATGCTAATTTCATGTTGCGTTCAGCGGTTTGAACTCGTTTGAACTCGAACCCGACCATCGTGAACCCATTCGAAGTGGTCCGGCCCAGAGTCCAGCCTACCTTGGTGAACTTGACCGAGGTTCGGTTCTTGGTCCTCAATTATTTTGAAAAATCCGGACGGAACTGAACTTTGGCAGCACTAATGGCCTACAGCAGTGGTACAATATTTATGAGAATGAATGCAATAACAATAACCAGCACTGTAAACAAAGTCACATGACATACCCGCACGGGTATTGCCAGTGACAATGCCACACAGGTTGTAGCGATGAGAGCTTATAGGCAGACGTTAGACGGAGCTAGACAGTATATTATTATCTCAGTCTCGAGGTAAAGGACTCGTTGTATGTACCTAGACAGAATATTATTCTAAACGGACTTGTTAGCTCGTAAGGTAAAACAATGGTATAGGCGCACTCACATCTCAGTCTCGAGGTAAAGGACTGAGATGCTTCGTCGTAGGTACTGCAGACTTTATCATACGGAAAATGTAGGAATGAAAATACTTTGACATATATTGTAGAGCACGAGCCAACATCAAACATCGCTCGTTAACTCATTCGGGATGCGCTCGTACGAACCTACTTCCTCATCCTTCCTATCTCGGATCCCTTGGCCAATGGTTCATCGGATCGCTCGGACTCCAATACTCCCCCTCGAGCGCATTCCAAGCTCATCAAGACTTGCAGCTTTTGAAGGCGAGGACGGGGGAGGGGTTTGGTAAAAGCATCGGCAACATTGTCGTCCGTAGGGCAGTAGAACAGTTGGAATGTGCTGTCCTTTATGTGGGCACGGATGAAGTGGTAGCGTATGGAGATATGCTTGGTACGAGACTGAAATTTCCCGTTTGACGCGAGGGCAATGGCAGCCTGATTATCGCAATAGACGGGAGTGGGGAGAGCTGGGGACTCGTACAGTTCTTCAGTGAGGTACTGCAGGTATAGTAGCTCTCGGGCGATAGTAGTTAGGGCGATATACTCTGCCTCGGCAGTAGATAGAGCTATCAACGGCTGCTTACATGCGCTCCAAGCAACGGGGCCGCCATTCAACATTACAATGTATCCTGACATTGAATGTCGATGGGGCTGGGACGCCCAGTCCGCGTCTACGAACGTCTCGAGGCCGGCCTCTGTGGAGCCAAGGGTGAGTTCGAAGTGGGCTGTGGCTTTTAGGTAGCGCATGACGCGCTTAGCAGCCTCCCAATGAGGCTTTCCAGGGTTTCGCATGAATTGCGGGAGGGTGGCAACAGCGAAGGAGATATCTGGGTGTGTGCTCGTGGCTGTGTACATGATTGAGCCGATAGCCCGCTGGTAAGGCACATTGGACATGGCTTGTAGCTCACTGTGCATGGAAGGACATTGCTCCAAGGACAGTACCGTCCCAGGCTCCATAGGTGTCTGCACAGTTTTCGCATCAGTGAGGTAGAAGCACTCTAGGATAGTGTCAATATAAGCCTTTTGTGAGAGGGAAATGGTCCACGCTGTCCGGTCGCGAGTGACTTTCAAGCCTAAGAGCCAATTCAATTCTCCAAGATCTGTGATCTCAAAGAACTCGTGAAGCTGGGATTTGAAGCGCTGGATGTGGGAGGTATGAGAGGAGGTTACTGCCATATCGTCGACTGAAACAGTGATGACCGTGTGCTCCTGCAGGGTGCGCTTAAAGTAAACAGCCTGGTCAACTTGCAAGCGACTGAATCCAATTTTGGAGAAAACACCGGCCAGCTCTTTTGCCCACTCAAACCCGGCCTGCTTTAACCCCGGCAGACTTCTCCTCAACTTCAGAACCTTTCCTTCCTGCCCTTTTCTCAAGTAGCCCGGTGGTGCCCTCATGTAAATCTCTTCCTGGACGTCTGCATATAAGTACGCACTTTTGATATCCACCTGGTGGATTTCCCAATCACGCTTCGCAGCCATTCCGAGGACAGTTCTGATGGTGGCCATGTTGCAGGTGGGTGCAAACGTCTCAAAATAGTCAACACCGTACTGTTGATGTTGCCCATTTGCAACGAGGCGCGCCCGGAGTTTAAGCTTTTCGCCGTCCGGGCCGCGTTTGGTGGCGAGGACGTAGTGACATGGGATGATGTTTGCGTCATGTGGCAGGTCGGTAACTTCCCAAGTGCCAAGTTTCTCCAGTTGGCTGATTTCATAATCAATAGCCTCTTGCCATTCTGCACCATCTTGGCCATTCAGCGCCTGCTGCAACGAGGGCTCTGGCTGCACTGCAGCCATAGCATACTGGTGAGTAACGTAGTCTTCCTCTCCTGGTACTGACTCTTCCTCTTCCAGCTTTTGGATTTCGGCTGCTAGGTTAGCGCGCTCCCCCTCATTGAGGGCGGAGTAGTAACCTGGCGGTGGGCATACCCTTGTGTACCGTGGAGCTGCAGGGGGTTCTGGTGGCGGGTTGTGGCTCTTTGGAGGGGTGGTGGGTGCCGGTATGTGGTTTCTGGGAGGTGAGTGATTGGCTGAGGCTTCCTGGGCGACCTTTATGACGACAGGATTGGAGGTGGACTCCCCCTCGACCAGGACGGCATCAGCGACATCAACCGTCTGAGGTACGTACGTCATGTTACGCTCGACAGAAACACGCCTCTTACCCTCCCAATAGACTCGACAACCCTTACTCTGGCTATCCACCCCCACGAACAAGGCCTTCACAGCCTTCGCATCAAGCTTCCCACTGTCTTCCACATGGACAAGGACCTCGCTCCCAAACTCGCATGCGAGTGACAGGTTGGGGCGTTTACGATGGACGAGGTCATAAGGTGTGTGTCCAGGTATAGACCTGGAGGGCAATCTATTTTTCAGCCAGACGGCATAACTGATGGCCTCTGCCCATAGGAACTTCGGGGCATCTCGCACAAGCAACATAGCACGTGCATGCTCAACGAGCGTGCGGTTCAGGTGTTCCACCACGCCGTTTTGCTGTGGGGAATCATGGACCGTCATCTCCCGGGTAATGCCATGCTCCTTCAAGTAGGCATCAAACTCAGCACTCAAGTATTCCCCTCCTCGATCGGAGCGAAGGGATTTTGATGTGAAGGCCATCATGCTGTGTGGTAAGTCTTGCCTCGTAGTGCTTGAATGCATCTAATGCGTCACTCTTGCGCTTCAGGAACGTCACCTGGGTCTCGTGGGAGTAGTCATCGGTAAAGCTCATATAGTAGCTTGATCCGGCAAGGCTCTGAGTTTGAGCCGGTCCCCACAGGTCGGTATGGATGACCTCGCCATATGCCTTCGCGCACCTTGCTGACTCTCGTGGAAACAGTTTACGGGTAGATTTTGCCTGGACACATGTGTCACAGAATTCATCAGAGGACGCCGCATCGAGGTTAATGCCCTCAACTAACCCCTTCTCTATGGCATGCCTCACTGCGCCTTGAGAGACATGTCCGAGGATTCTGTGGGCGTCGTAAACAGTGCGCTTCCCCTTTGCTACATTAGCTTGGTGTTGAATGGTAGCTGCAATGCTATAGAGGCCCTCGATTTGAGGAATGGTCGCAATAACTGCGCACGCTGGCGATGGAGACAGGATTTTGCACAACCTGTCTTCGAAGTGGACGGCGAGGCCAGTGGAGGTGATGCGATTAGTGGAGATCAGAGTAAACGCCATACTAGGTGCGTATAGTGTGTCTTTCAACGTGACTAATGTTTTCTCCTTGCCATTGGGCAACTCCAGCTTCACATCCCCTCTGCCTATAGCACTTAGGGTAGAGCCATCCGCTGTATGGACATTCTGCGGGTCTATGGGTTCATAGTTTACGAACTTGGACTTATCGGGGCAAAAATGCGATGTTGCCCCGGAGTCCACTATCGCGCCTCTGCGCTCGACCAGAACCTTTAACTGTTCGGCAATGCTGCTGAGGCTGGACGTCGCGAAAGCGTAGTTATCTGGAGTGGGGTCAGAAGTGGCCGAGTTCGCGCCTTCTTTCTGTGCGCGTGCTCCTTTCCTTCTCTGGTTTGGTCCCTGACCCTCTTTTCCTCCTCCAGGTCTCCAACAGTTGGTTTTATAATGTCCTTTTCGCTCGCAATTGAAACAGGTGACGTCCGTGTTCTCTTTGCTCGTGCTTCCGCCCTTCTTACCCCTCCCAGGAGGAGACTTGGCTACAAGAGCCGAATTCCCACTCTTCTTGGAACCGCGTTTGTCTGTCAACTGACAGTGTTCGTACTCCTCACTGATTACAGTGATGAGTTCATTCGAGGTGAGTGGTGTCTGGGTTATCCTGGCAGCGGCATTAATGGAGGACAGAATTGGTCTATATGACTCCGGCAATGATCCCAAAAGGATGGCGTGAAAATCACGATCTTCGATGGAGGATCCCATGCAGGCTAGGGACTCGCGCAACCTCAAGAGCTCGGCGAAATGCGCCTTGACGTCGCCGTTCTCCTCGCAGCGTAAGTCCTGCAGGCATCTTCATAGGTCTACCTGTACTAATTCCGTCTTTCCTTCATGGATGACGCAAATTTTGTTCCAGATACTGGATGCGCAACAACAGCCTATCAGTGATAGTGCTGAATATTTGTTGCCTGACGAGTGAGTCCTTTTGGTAAAACTCGTCCAGCTTCTTGTCGTGCTCATCGATCTCGGTCTGCGAAGGTGTCGAGCCATCCGGCTTTGTGACAGCTTTCGTTGTCTCGTCAATCGCGTATGGAATCGGTTTTACGGCTCGACCATCGGTATAGCGCATCAAACCTCTAGCACCCAATGCCGTTAACATTCTCTCCTTATAGGTTATCCAATTGGACCTGTCTTCAGCTAACTTGGGGATGTTAAAGAGCGCAGAGTTTGTACTGGGGAGCATGCTATCCATGGTAGATCCAGGGCTCATAACCTGTAGCGATGAGAGCTTTTAGGCAGACGTTAGACGGAGCTAGACAGTATATTATTATCTCAGTCTCGAGGTAAAGGACTCGTTGTATGTACCTAGACAGAATATTATTCTAAACGGACTTGTTAGCTCGTAAGGTAAAACAATGGTATAGGCGCACTCACATCTCAGTCTCGAGGTAAAGGACTGAGATGCTTCGTCGTAGGTACTGCAGACTTTATCATACAGAAAATGTAGGAATGAAAATACTTTGACATATATTGTAGAGCACGAGCCAACGTCAAACATCGCTCGTTGACTCATTCGGGATGCGCTCGTACGAACCTACTTCCTCATCCTTCCTATCTCGGATCCCTTGGCCAATGGTTCATCGGTTCGCTCGGACTCCAATACAGGTACACGGGTCACGGGTCTTGAAAGTCAGACCTGCACCCATACCTGTGAGGTACCCGTACCTGTGACCTGCACGGGTTACCCATACCCATGCCAATACCTATGCTTATCTGTTAGCTTGTGCTAAATGTAACTCCCTGTGTTGCTGCAATTTGTGTTGAGTTGAAATTGGTATATCAAATAACTTGTACAGTTGGTAGATAGTTTATTAAAATTGTTGCAGTAAAGGGACACAAGGGTCTATTACATACACCTCCAGTAATTTACTAATGATCCAGTAGTCAAGCAGTTACTTACATTAGAGTTTTCTCTGCTCTCAGATTCTCGTGATCGAGCCCTGTTTTGTTCATTTTTTCCAATTTGGTGCCCACCGGGCGTTGCCGTCTGAGTTTAAATATCTTTGCAGTCGTTCACTATATCAACTGTGCTCTTCACGTAATCCGCTCCTTTCCGACTTCCAACTTTTGATTGATAGGTATTAAGTATTATAGCTCATATATCACTTTGGTGACTTTATATTTAGCATCTATGTGAACTTGTGTGGTACGACGGAGCTTTGGCGCGCGTATGCATGGTGCTTTTATCCTTCGTACTTGAGGCTTTGCTACTTACATTCGATGTTTCGGAATTTGTCAAGCTAATGCGCGTTGGACTCAAGTGTCAGAAACTTAATCCTCATTGAAAACGGTCCGTCCACAATCCACAATTTGAAAATTGTCGAAGACAATACTGCTGCGTCGTCGGTCCATTGTACGCACACCACAATTTTTGCAGCCACATTAGCTAATCCACAAAAGTCATTCACTATAAAAGCTGACCTTCCCGCATTAGCAGGGTTTCTTTCCAACTACATCGATACAATACGCTAGTCTTAGATTAGCTACCTAGCATAGCTGATTCAATAAACTTTGAGACAAGTATGTCAAAATCAAGTCCGTTGCAAGCTTGGAATTGATGTATCTCAATACAGATCACACACACATGTCCAAACGCGCCGGATCACATCACGGTGGTGATGAACCCACCCCGAAGCGCCTTAGAATTGGTGAAGGTAAGTCGTGATTGTGATATAGTAGTTCATATTGACATTCATGAGCGGTACAGGGAATCACACAACAGCATCGGCACTTTGCGATCCCCATGCATGGGACATTCTTTGCAAGTTCCTCACCAGCAATATGTCGATGGGTGAAATGGACGCTGCTCTTGAATCCTACCTCGGCAGTCGATTCTCCGCGGAGGACTGGGAGGAACCTCGACGTCTATTGTTCTCCGGCGATGGAGATGATGAGCAATCCTTGGCAAATTTAATTGAACTGAAGATCAAGTATGTACCCGAGCCCGAACCTCCACGCGCCATACCTGTTCAACACTTGCGCAAACTGCGCAAAGTAAGTCATTTGCAAACTGATAATTCGGTCACTTATAAAATGAATTACAATTGTAACAGAAAAATCTGTATATACTCGATGAAGCTGAGGAGGAGGAGGAGGAGGAGGAGGAAGAAGAAGAAGATGGGGGTGGTTCGTCTGTGCGGTCGCCGAAGGTTGCACGTTTATTGGGCCCATCCGCGAAAGATAGGTTGGCCGCAACCTTTGACGATATGGCCACTCGCTTCGAACAGAATTTGGCGACCTCATCACACGGTCGCCAGTTTCCCACTGAAGACAGAATGTATCTGCTTCGCGTTCAGAGTAGGTCCAATCTTTAATGGCGCAGTATGTACTCACTGCGTCCTAGGAACTGCTACTGAATATATTGCTGCGCACCTTCGGAAGCAAAAATTCCCCGTTACCGTGTCAGCTTGGGTACCGGGCCAGCTCTACGTGGTGGCAGACAGCCCCAAAACCATCTCACAATCACTGTCTTCCTCCTATTATCTCGCCGTGAAGGACTATACCATTATCAAGGATGAAGAACGCGAAGCTGTCGAATCTTCTCGATCCAAGCTTCCCGACACAGCGTGGGTAAGAATCACGAAGGGCAAGTACAAGGGCGACGTAGGCAGGGTCTTCAAATCCAAAGAGGATCTTGTCGAAGTCTTAATTGCCGCCCGGGACTTCCCCTATAAAATGTCTCGGGGAACCCGAGCACTGGTCGAGCGATCTCGCCTTCCGAATAGCAAGGGAGCCCAGACATCTGACATCATTTTGAATGGTGAAGTAGTGGGATGGTCGTACAACGGAGAGAGCTATTACAAGGGGCTAGTAGTCAAGATTTTCCATCGCGATCACGTAGAACTTCTTGCCTCGCCTCATGTTAACGATATTCAGCTCCATCTGGAATCCGGGTGGGACATTCCCTTCCTGAAGGCCGCCGTGGTAGTGTTCTCGATGCAATTTCTGCGCATGGGTGATTTGGTCAGGGTCGTCAAAGGCTCTCTTCGTGGAGAGTCTGGCACCGTCGTCTCCATCGACCATACCTCTGGTTCTGTGGGGTTGGAATTCAGCTCCAACGAATGTCTCCAAGAAATAGAATTTTCACTCCAGGACATAGAGCGTGTCTTTTGGGTTGGTGACACTGTTAGAGTTGTAGCTGGTCCATACACGGGCTTAGAAGGTCACCTCATCCAAATGCTCGATGATGTGTTTCACGTTTGCCAAGAGACTACTAAGGAAGTGGTAAGTTTCTGGCTGACTTAATCTCTTGGATGACTGAATTAAATCGTGATACATAGGTCGAAGTTTCGAAGTATTATTTAGATCGGCGTCCTCTGAATCACACTCTGAAATCGCATCTGCCAACGCAGCAATATTTCGAGCCTCCCTCCGACTCCGATTCCATTGAAATCGGGGACTACATACAAGTGTTGGGTGGGGAGCACGCTGGGAGACGCGGCGTTGTAAATTGGTTTTCTAAGGGAGATACCAATTTGTGGTTCCGTGATATCTTCACTGCGAACAACATGGGGTCCGGCCTGTCCAGTATATCAGTTCCTGCTACAATGGTTCGGCGGACGGATCTCGCCCAAACACTCGTTTTCACAAAAGAAAGGGGCTATGATGTGAGACCTGGAGACACTGTGAGTGTCGCCCGTGGGCCGGAGTACGGGGCACGAGGGCTCGTGCAGCATGTAGACTTTCCGAACGCTCGCCTGAGCCTTATATGTGACGGCGACAAGTCACTCGTAAGTATTATTAATCACTTCGACACAAACACTTCTAACTTGTTACAGATCAATGTTCCAATCCGCTTTGTCATTAAGACACACAATGCCAGCTTGGACTCTTTCAAGAAGGACATCGGTCATGAAGTCTTCGTTATTGGAGGTCAACGGAAAGGCTACCGAGGCACCCTTGACAGTCTTTCCCTTGAGACTTGCACTGTTGCTGTGCGCGGGCAGGTGCGCGCTACGCTCAAACTTCACGACGTTGTCACCAAGTAAGCGGTACATATGGTTTTCTGTGACTTAAAGGCTGACCATTATCAAGGTATGGAATGAGATTAAATGGTGTGATGCTCGAAGGCCCGGAGTTATCTTCATTCTGCGATATGCGGAAAAGGTCGTACTTGGCGCCCCCACCTCGAAGCGTCACTCCGCCTGTCGAACAAATACCCTCCAGCTCGTTGGCTTCGATCACGGATCCCAGTCTTCCATCATCCAACGGGTGGTCCGAGTGGTCCGCGAGCCCCAGCAGTGTTGATGTAGAGCATGATCCTTCATCAAGCGCCAATCCCAGCTCGTCATCGGCAATGCAGGCATGGAGTGTCGATGAGCTTGACGTCCAGGACAGCATTGAGGCAAGTACCGAAAAACTGCGAGACACCGGTGAGTTTTTAAGGCAGGCATCATAACGTTTACTAATGTTAATGTAGGCCCGCTACCTTGGTTGATGTCTAAGGAGTTTTCTTCAGAACTCTTAGGGTATCACGTATTGTTCAAGGTCTCGGTGGGGTTCATGAACGGCAGGCTACAGAGACGGTTTGTGTCAACGGCTTGTCCTGACCTGTTCTGCGGTGAGAACGGGCCCGCACCCGAAGGTTGCGTGGCCGTGTTCTGCACATCCAACAGTGCTGGAGCTGCAATTGAACACTATCACATCCCCGCCAGCGACTTGAGCCCGGCTCCTCCGCGCAAGAAAAACCAAGAATGCCTCATTCTTGATGGTGTTCATCGCGGACTTATACGAACTATAGCGAAGTGTGAAATCGCCAAGAAAAACACTGTCGACATCAAGATCACGCCTACGGTTACCGTAACTTTACGTTCCGATCAGATTTGTCTAGTTGAACGCACTCGACAGTAGACTGTACTCTAAAATCCATACAGGACAACTTTGCATATCTCCCTTCTATTTATCGCGCGCGTGTCCCTGTGAGTGTATATCAGGGATTTGCCAGCTTACAAAGGCACCCGTTTGGCTGGCTCTTTGACGGTATATCATATTTACAGTAGCAATTATCTATTAATGCAATATTAGCACAATGTTGTCTTTCGTTCGTCTCGGCAAATAGACACAGCATGTCTCTTCGCATTCTCGCTCTCGATAATGGATATTTCAATCACAACAGTGTATTTTAAAGTGCTTTAAGGCGATAAGTTCGTGCACGAAGCGCGCCCAAAAATAAAGTAAATCGAATGATATATCGAGTTCGTCGTGTTGAACGACGAGCGGGAAGCGTCGGCGTAAGGGTTACATAATAAGAATGTAGCAAAAGCGTCAGTAAACTCACTAAGTGTACTGCGAGGTAATAAATAAATATATACATAAAGCGCGCCCAAAAAATAAAGTAAATCGAATTATATATTGAGCTCGTCGTGTTGAACGACGAGCGGGATGCGTCGGCGTAAGGTTCGGCCACTATGGGCATTGTGATGACATAATGCGTGACTTAACTCTATTTCGGGTACTACCGGCGGAGTTTGATTTTCTCAAGTCAGTCACTATATAAACCTCCAGCGCTTGAATCTGTTTTCCTTTCCGTTCTTTCATGTCTGTCTCAGTAGTCGTGCGCTTACAACCGTGTAGTAGGAATTTGTATCTGTCTATTACCATTACAATACTATAGTACAATAACATGATAATCCTAAGTGTACCTCACAATGAAGTAAACTTCAGCGGTGCGCTGGACTTGCGCCGAAGGATAGACGCTTAAGGTTGTTTTGATTTTGCTTATGAAATAATTGTAAAGTTAATGTAACTTCGAATAGGCGAAGGTTTAAATGACATCAGGAAACATACGGAATGAATGCAAATTGTGCAACGCTCTGGGAGTCGCTCCAGATTGACGGTGAGATCACACCCAAGTTATCGTGACTCACATCCTTAACGTGATTTTCAGATTGGTCAACGATTGATCCTATTTTGACCGTATATCGTTCAGGCCATCATTGAACGATAATGCAAATTGTACCAATTTTCTACCTCTAGTTGATACCTCATTCGCCAATATTTTTATCTCCCAATAGATTCTGCTCAGCTCCATCATTCTCCCCTTCACCAGGTGCGGTGCTCTTCGTGCTCTGCCGTTCTAACAGTTGACCATCTCCCCGTTCTGAAGCTTCATTCCAGGTGAAGAGCTCTGGAAAGAAAGCGGGGGACACCATGCCCTCTGGAATTTGACCAAGCACAGGCACATGGACGTCACATGGCATATGGCGCTCCAGGTTGTCGGCGCGGTAGTATTCTTCCAGCCATCTATACCTGTATGTATCTACCCTTTCAGAAAGGTGCGCAATAACATTTTCCGCGTTTTCTAGCTCTTTCTTGACGCGACGCAGCTCCGATGCTACTTCCGCTTGGGGCTCTTCGTCCTTGTCTAGATAAAGAATCTGTTTATCTTATGGTCTCCATTCTCTGAATGGGCAAATCTCACCAGCTGTCTGAGTTCCTCTAGGGATCGCTTCATTGATCTGAAGGAATGGCCTGCACGGTAAGTCTAGTTTTGAGTTGCTTTTGCAACGTTCTAAAACTTACTCGCAGTCTTCGTCGTGTAGCCCATCGATATCAGAGCTCCTTTGTTTATGCACTGAGAAAAGTCGGAAGCTTCAGGTAAACTTGTGAGCTCGGTATCGCAAGGCATGCTGAGGAGCGTACTTTAGCGTGACATTACTTCCAACGTGGACGCATTGTCGCAGGCCCTTACGAGGGGGTGAACCGGACATTCTTGGTCGAAATATCGCGAGTGGTTGCTGCGACAGCGTCAGTAACTTATGTATCTATGTGTGCGATGATGACCAATCTAATCTCAAAAGACTGCCATCATCCATGGCGCTAGGATGGCGAGGTGTTTTCCTTTTGTGAACCCTATGGCGCTCGGATGGTGAGCCTTTGTCATAACGAGATCTATGGCGCTCGGATGGCGAGTTTTTTTTTCGATGACGTTATTGTCTGCTTGGACATATAAAGCATCTGGTTCATTACTAGTATTAGAATCGTGTACTTCGACTTATTATGAGTAACGACGAGAACCATCTATCTTCCAGCGATCCTTCGCGCAAGCGTAGTAGTTCAGCCCTTCAATTGGGCCCGCATAAAAAGGCGCAAGTCTTCTTCCAAGCGTTAAATCGCTACTTTCCTGACCTACCTTCTGACTAGGACTTCGTCAAGTCCCCTCGTTCTTCATGGGCGACATTTTGGTCGGACGGTGTTCGCCCTATGCAACTATCCTGCCCTTCTTACTGCAGGGATTCTCCGACTCGAAGAACTACAAGACTCTCCCATAGAGGACTATCCAGCGGAGTAAGTGCAATTATGACAATTACATGCCGCCAGAATTCAAGAATACTCACAATGTTAGTGTTTGACGTGAACATAGAGTGTTCATGGATCTAATAGATTCATATCCTGGTCTTTTAGATCGTCTCACGACGGGCGAGGAGGAGGATGTTAGTCACATTGGAGAATTGGTAAGAATTCAAAGCCGGAAGTTCATCATACTCATCATTTTGCAGCTGGGTAAAGGAGCGTCCGGTGCACGAGGCGACGATACAAAAACTCTCAAATCTGCTGTTCTCGAATGGCTCGTACCCAGAGGACAGGTGGTCATACCACCCCTCTCCCGTAATATTAAGTCTGACCGCGGATTTAATCATGAAGTCACCGGTGCATTGCTCTGCCCCGCGGGCCTTGACTGGTCAGATATAGTGTAAGTCTTTCTACCGTTTGATCAACTTGACATTCTAACACTACGGGTCAGAACTAAGCTCAGTCTCAAGAGCGGTGAGACCGCAGTTCGCGGTGACCAGTGGCCCATGTTTTTATATGCTAGGTATGAATATGATCCCGAAGATCCATGGAAGGGTTTACTAAAGGGTGAGATACTCATATTTGTAAGTTCGTTCTGTTAACTATGGACATTTCACTCAGCCATCCCCCTTTGTAGGGTTTTAAACATGTATTTACTTCCCCAAGTTCGGTGGATAAAGAGCCAAAAGCTACGCGTTCTGGCAACGCCTACCTTCATGGCATGAAGTCTGTAACCAAAGGATCACTGGCCTATATCGCTACACAGGTATGTGGGAGATTTTGTAAAGCACGCCTCACACTGCTGATTATTCACCGAGGTTCGGTTTGCGTTGAGTTCATCGTCTGTATTTTCACGCACGGACACGGTCACGGATTCCGAAAATTTTTATCACAGCATCCTCGACCTGTTAGAGGATCCTGATGAAAGTGAGGAGGTCGTTGACCTCATGATGTGGTGGACGCGGTTCGTGATCCATTTAGTCATGAACTCTATTCTAACACCCTATCATAGCCGCATCTTTCCTAATTCATCATCTTCGCACCGCAATATCAGTCAAAACAGTGCGTTGTCTAAAATTCGGGAAAAACGCGCCGCCTTACAAGCACGAGCTAATCTTAACATTACTTAATTTATTTATTTTGTACTGTTCCATTTGTAATTCTGTCGGTCAATGATGTCAATCATAATGCAGTTGTTTCAATGCTCTACCAATAGTGTGAATGTGAATCTAATGCATGGCATGCAAGGCTGTATATGGTTGAAAAATATTGCCACCTTGTTTTGGCGGGATAAATGGATTTCTGAAGTGTCATTGATTGCAGCTTTCAAACATCCCATATAACAGTAGATGTGTTTGCCAAAGGTTTGTTATTGTGCTATGACATGACAGCCCAGTGTCATATCCTTGCACATAGTCAGCAATTGCAGATCCCTCCGTCGGAGGCTAGCTATCTAAAGCCAGACACCTTTGGTAGAAAACAAGCACCGTGCTATAATTTACAACACAATATCATACCCTAGCACACAGTCGGCCATTGTGGAACATGCAATAAGAGGCTACCCATGTAGCCATATATGCCTATGCCAAAGGCTCGTTATTGTGCTATGACATGACAGCCCAGTGTCATATCCTTGCACATAGTCAGCAATTGCAGATCCCTCCGTCGGAGGCTAGCTATCTAAAGCCAGACACCTTTGGTAGAAAACAAGCACCGTGCTATAATTTACAACACAATATCATACCCCAGCACACAGTCGGCCATTGTGGAACATGCAATAAGAGGCTACCCATGTAGCCATATATGCTTATGCCAAAGGCTCGTTATTGTGCTAAGGCATGACAGTGCAGTGTCATATCCTTGCACATAGTCAGCAATTGCAGATCCCTCCGTCGGAGGCTAGCTATCTAAAGCCAGGCACCTTTGGTAGAAAACAAGCACCATGCTATAATTTACAACACAATATCATACCCTAGCACACAGTCAGCCATTATGGAACATGCAATAAGAGGCTACTTGTGTAGCCATAGATACAATTGACAATAACACTACAGTATGCTAGTATATTATAAGTGGCTATTATTGATCCACCAATATTATGGGTGTGGCAGATATCACCATTGTAGTCTAGCTATTTATTCCTTTGTTATGTGATCTGCCATTGTGATATATATTCTTGGAATTTTAAGTTAGATAAATCTAGCTAAATCTTTGTCATTCTCGGGTCAAATGCCTGATGTAAGGTATCTCAATCATCATGCTCACTTCTCGTTCCATAATGGTACTGTTACTGACCGGCAGAAGTTGGGGCTGTAGTGGTGATGTGTTGAGGTGCGGAGGGTCAATGGGAGTGATTGAGAGCTTGGGCACCCCTCTTCATGAGGGGATTTTCCATTCCGTCCGATGTCTTCGATGGTGAAAGTACATGATCGGGCGTGGGGCTGGATGTATTGCTGCCAATCTGAGGTCACCACCGGCGCATATTTGGTGGTGTTGTTGGGCGTGGGAACAAGCCACCAGAGGTCAACACGGTGGCTACCTCAGTGCGGATACATGTATGTATCAGCTACCGAGACTCTCCTTGCAGGTCTATAACTTATAAGGCAACAACTTGCTTGATATTAATTATCATTCAGGCTAATAGTACTTCGAAGCAGCATCGCCTGACAGATCGCGAATGACTCAACACGCCTGAAGGTGCCGGTCATATTTTCTGGCCGAGCTTGTACAGGGATAAGATAATCAATAACATCGTGTAGACTATATCACAAGTACATATATGTGACAGGTTACGTCTGACACCGCTGGCTCAGTTGTGCCTATCCCGTCATGCTGTGATATTTGCAATTCCTTTGGAGAAGATCTCCTAGGACCCATGAGAACCCCCATGGAACCCAGGCTGGCGTCCGGACAAAAATTGACCCAAATGACCGTTTCACCCAGGTTACAGTCCGGACACAAAACGTCTAATTTGGGTGTCAACCCAGGTGAACGTCCGGACATGGGCTATTGCCCGATAGATGTGATATGGTAGAGTAGTGTAGCGGAACGACACCATCGATAATGCTGAACGCGAGAGTTCGAATCTTGCTTTTTACAGCTTTCATTGGACGCTTGAAGTTCGAATGAGCAAGTCGACTACTATATAACCTGGGTCAGAGTCCTGGACAGAATTCACCCCTCAGGTGGACCCAGGACGGCATCCGGACAAAAATCCTCAAAATGTGTCCGGACAAATTTGGGCCTCAGCCGACCTGGGTTCCAAAGGGGTTCTCATGGGTCCTGATCTCCTTCGTCATCGAAAACAAATTGCATATGCGCTATATATATACAACGTAACTTCTCATTTGAAAAGCGGCTGATGCAGGACACCTGGGTTGCCCTATTAATAAGCCTTATTATACTTGGTAGTTATGTGTCTCGCCAACTATAATTAGGCTTGGTTTCATCAAATCCCTACACCAGCGTTAAATAGTGCCCCAGCTCCTCAAAATACCTTCAAAAAAACTATGTACACCTCACTATGGTGGGCGCGCGCGCGCGCATAGGCTATATTCGGTAAGCATCCCGCCCCGCCTTAATTGTGTCATATTCCTATTTTAATTCGGCACGCTCGGCAACGCCTACTACGCTTCCTAATTCGAACCAAGGGGCCCTTCTCACGCTTCCTAGCTCTCCTCATCACTGTGCTCATCGTCCCTGCCGTTCCCTGCCTCCATCGTGCCCCCATTGTTCCGCCTTTGTCGTCGTCGTCGTCAACCTCCTTCGTTCCTGCCGTTTCCCACCTCCCTCGTGCCTTCTCAACCTCCTTCGTACCTTCGTCGTCGTCGTCCTTCGTACCTGCCGTTTCCCAACTCCCTCGTGCTTTCGTCATTGCCCTCCTTTGTGCCTTCATCGTTGTCGTCCTTCGTACCTGCCATTTCCCAACTCCCTCGTGCTTTCGTCGTTGCCCTCCTTTGTGCCTTCGTCGTTGCCCTCCTTCGTATCTGCTGTTTCCCGCCTCCCTCGTGCTTTCGTTGTCGCCCTCCTTTGTGCCTTTGTCGTTGCCCTCCTTCGTACCTGCCGTTTCCCGCCTCCCTCGTACTTTCGTCATCGCCCTCCTTTGTAGCTTTGTTGTTCTCCTTTGTCCCTTTGTAGTTTGTCGCACCTCATTGCACTGGGTTATGTCATATTCTACTTGCACTGTGATATTGTAGATCAAACTAAGATGTCATTGCACTTTTATAAAAACAAACTAAGTCTATCACGAGCGATTCCATCAAGAAATGAGTTATAGCGCAGGAATAATGAAACTAGGGACATTGCTCAAAGGGGACAGGATGGCTGAGTCTGGGATATTGTTATGATACTGGGGTGCTGCTCGAAGGGGAAAGGATGATTGAGTCTGGGGGAATTGACATTACTGGGTGCTCGGCAGTACACCCACTCGTGTTAGAGTTCGAGTTGGCGTTTGGAGTGGTGTTGACATCCTCCGAACCATCTGGTGTCTGTCCAGCTGTACACCTAGTCGTATTAGAGTTCGAGTTGGCGTTCGGAGTGTGTTACAGTCACTACGTGAGCCCCCAGCTACACGACCAGCCCTCTGCCACCTCGCACGGCAACGATACGACAACCGGGCCTTTAGGCCTTGATGATAGATGACGAATAGAAGAGAAGTCCGGAAGATGCCGGATTAGGTAAGCGATCTGGATCGCTTACATGATATGACGACATAGGTCTAGAAGACCTATATATGTTATCAAAATAGAAGGCAAGCCTCGTGTTGCCTCATGTACTGATAGAAGGACACCTCGCGATCCTTATCCTAGATAGAAGCCTGCCTCATGCATGGTATCTCTGACTCGATAGATAAGCACTTAGAACCCAGCTTCAAGCTGAGCTTAGATACGATAGAGTAGCCTTATATAAGGTCGATAGATTAAAGTAGATGTTCCTTACTTTAATCTTACTGGGTTTTACCTTGAACTCCTTGTCTTGCTAAAGCTACCTGCTTGACATCAGATCTGTACCTTCAGAAGGACTTGAGACCCCTTCTGCCTGTAACTCGCTATCATCGCTCGCCTCCGCAAGCGTACGCAGCTTCCGCTCTTCTGTGGAAGTCGACCTCGGACTCTCAGCACGAGATATCACTGTCGTGATCGTCGCTGTTAGATCATCCCAGTCCGCACGCGACACACGTCGTAACAAAAGATTAAAGTCCCTTTACCGTACGCCTCCATCACAGGCTACGAGATAACTGATCGCACTTGCTGTCAACGTTACCGACACTCGTAGAACCCCGAACCTAGATCCTGAAGAATTTTCATATCCCTGATTTAGAACCCTGATCGTACCGGCCTGACCAGTCGCAAGAATATAAGAACCGCCGTCACTGTGGAAAGCTCCAAGAAAAGGATACCACGAAGATCGTAGAAACCCATCTCCAATATGGCAACTACCAGAAACACCTTCGCCGCCGCACACCTCACCGGGAAGGAGACTCGCCTCTGTTTGCGAGAGAAGAAATGTTTTGTGTGCCACATCATCGGACACAAAGCCGCGAGCTGTCCTCAATGGACCCGAACCTCACGGAGAAAGATGATCGAAGAAGAACCCCTGCGCGCTATCAAGAAAGCCGGGGCTAAGGAAGACATACGGGTGAACGCCACCCTAATCTCCAGAACGAGAAGCAACCCCATCACGACATCTATGATCGTAGATTCTGGGGCGTGTGAGTCCTTTATCAACCAGGATATAATCACGCAGCACCGCATCTCAACGCACCAGCTAGAGAACCCTTTGAGATTCTCGAACGCTGACGGATCCTGCTTCGGAACGAAGCCAATAGAAAGGTTTTGCAACCTTACTTTCCAGATTGATGAACGGGTAATTTCCGAAAGGTTTTACCTAGCCGAACTTGGTCCAAAAGACAAGTTCCTGCTCGGACGACCTTGGCTTATCAGCCAGAACCCCGCAATTAATTGGAAAACCGGCGCGGTGACCCTAAGAAGCACCGCAGATTCCCGAAAAAAGGAAAAAGAAATAGATTCTGATAGGAAGAAGAACGGCAAGGCGCCCCTCTTCCTGAAAGAAGAAAAAAAGGTAACACAAAAAAGAAAACGATCGGTATCCCCGACAACTCCCCGTACCT